TCACACTTCTCTGTTCCCGTACAAAACCCCAGCATTTAAAATTTTCCAGAATCATTGATTGCCATTGAAACATGATATTTATACTTTTACTAAATACTCCTTTACAGGTATTACGATAAGATAAATACAGGGAAAGGAAGAAAACTCTTCTCCTAAGGTCTGGTGAGTCCTGACTCGAGTTCGAAAGTTTGAGGGAGCATAAACGCCATCTTATGCCTACTTTAAGTACTGCACTGAAAACCCGGACATTGCATCAGCAACGTACACACGTGTACGTCTGGACCACACGTGCAGACCCGAGGGACACAATATGTACCTCTCGCATTTGTACCTCTCCTTGTACGTTTCTACTTTGCTGTGTGATAATGATGAGGAGAATGCACTCATCTGAATTTCATACCCTAATTACGATTCCCCCCATTTGGTAATAGAACGCTTGCGATTGTACTAGCAGACGAGTGTCGTCGCAACCTCACAGGTCACCCGACGCTCTCCACCTTTCATTCATTCATTCATTCATTCATTCATTCATTCATTCATTCATTCATTCATGAAATTTCCTTACCGCTCTTCGCGACTCGACGGGAGCGAGTCTCTCTAAGGATGCAGGGAAGGTCAGCCGCACCACCGAGGTCGGGCGACTGGCACTCCGCCCAGCGAGAAACTCTCAGGGAGCATGCGGGTGACGCTTCCAAGCTAAAACGAGATTTTGTGGCAGGGTACCGGACGTAAGAACCGACGTTCGGCAGCTTGCATCCGCGATGTAATTCTTTCAACCGAAATTAATGGTCGAGGAAGGGATGATGAACGTTCGGAAAAACCGAGATTTCCCCTCGTGAGAGATTTCCCGGATTTCAGGTCCTCGGAGATGGTTCGAGAGCTCCTCAAAATGCTCCTTCTACGCCCGAAGAATTTCCGATCGGAGAAAGCAACTCCTCGTTCCGATCTTTGACGAATCGAATAGCATGCATCGTCGTCGATCAACATTTGCCGATCGGATCTGTCGCAATTGCCGACGGCACTTCATTGATGGTCGCGAGCATGCGGCTAAGGTCGAGCACGTCGAAACTCGACGTGAAAGGAGCCATCTCGATTAGCCATTGCCACCTCGAAGGAAAACATCGGCTTTCTCAATCCTGATGATTCCGGGCGACAACGGAACCAGCACGGAACGTTCCGAGCAGAACGCATCGTTCGTCCTGGCCATCCTCAACTCCTGTCACCCCCCTGTTACCCCCCTGTTGCCCCCCCTGTTATCATGAAAGAACCCCTAAGGCCTCACGAATCACAATCCCGCATTCCTCAATCGATCTGGACGAATCGACATCTGAACAGATCCATATATTTTCCACGGATTGCGAAAAAAAAGTTTATTGCTCCGAAATATTGCCAATTAGATGCCAATTGGTGTTCCTAAACCTTTCGCTGCAACTCAGAATCTCGTGGGATGAAGACTTCGGAACCGGAGAATCTCCTGCGAAGACTTACGGGATTGGCACGAGGAACATGTCCTTGGGACCTTTTATTGTGACCTTACATTTTCCGACGGCGACGAACACGCTCAGATTTTCAATTAATCTTCAATTAATCTTTCAATTCAATCCGTCACGATTTGATGTGTAACTGCGAATAACTTTAATATCATCATTTCCTTCTCTCTTTCTTCTCGCTGAACAAAAAAAAAATTCTGGAATTCCCATTTTCCCAAAATTTCTATGCCGGCAGCCGGATCCACGGAGGAGAAAACGCTTCTCTTTTTTGGCAAATTCAATCCGCTCCAGCATCGCTTGAAGCGGATGCCGCAGAATTTTCCCGCAGAATTTTTTTTTGCACTGTCGTGATTAAATACAAAGTGTGGCAAATTTTAGCATGCAGCTAAAGCTAAAGCTGGTCGCTTCCACAGAGTCAACCGAACCAAGAAGAGAGAATCGCTGCGTTATTTGCGTTATTTGCGTTATTGTTGTCAACGATGGCCAACATGGCGTTAGAAACTAAACCATCTTCCACGTGCAAAAACCTTTTAGTGAACTTCGCTTACGAACTAAAAAAAATTTGCATTCCTCAAAATCGTGCGTCCCAGATTTTCCAGAATATCTCTCGCGTGTTAAAAATAATAAAATTAATAATAAAACTTCTGCGCGCTGATAAATAACAAACCGAAACTAGAATTATCTCTAATTCTGTATAACGAATTTGCAGAATCATTCGATTTTTTTTATGGAAATGGGAGAAAAAAAAAATTTCATTTTAAAATATTCACACGTGCGAGGAAATCCACTAAGTTAATAATAATAAGTAAACGCCCAGTCTGCATATCAATATTGATGGCAAAGTTGAAATGAGACAGGTCTCAACAATTTCTCGACGTGCATTGCGCATGCGCCAACCGAAATGGCACATGCAGACGAATAACGCGACTTGATTGCTGAAGTATAGCAGAAGTCTCACGGAGGGATATGGACCACGTGGGCTTTGCCATCTCCGTTTCCCGGGCCAGAATTACCGAGGATCTCGTTGGGTTGAGGTGCCTATTACGGTCGAACGTATCCAGGAATCCGAATGCCTTCCTCGGTGCCGTCCTTTGGAGAAAATATCGAGTACCGTTCCAAAAGTACTGGGGACGCGTGCCAGTTGCACATATGTTGATCATTTCAACATTGCTTCGATGTCGACTATGCATCGGATCATCGGCATCAGCATCCTCTCGAAATGAAGAAATATGAATCAGCGGTAGGATATCGCGACGAGATAAGAGCACCAGGCGATAGCAGGCGGAGCGGCAGCGAGTGCTTCCTCGTCGGTGCGATTGCCTCCTGTGGAAACGCGTGGAAGGTGCGTGCCCTCGAACGAGATGGAGTGCAAGGCTTCGGAGTTTCTCTCCTCGCCAGGTAAAAAAAAAGGATGCGGCGACGCGGGGAAGGCTCGTACGAAGGTGCATGAGGGTGTGGCGCTTTTTCCAGGGCGACGCATACTAGCGGCGATGGCGACTTTTTTCCTGGCTCTCCTTCTCGTTCTCGTCCTGCTCCTCTCCCTCGTCCACCACTCAGTCACGTATTTGGGTCCGTCGCGATACGGTTCACCTCTTTACGGTGTTTCCCATCGACTTTCGTACCTGCCGCATATCGCTACGTGCTAGAGGCATATTGCTTCGTACCTCCTCCTTCGGCCCAGGGAGTAAGTACCGCTCCGAATCACAGAAATCGTCTCTGACAACCCTCGGCGAAAGGAATGCACGGCCTGTCGATCGCCCTTAGAATGCATGGCCTGTCGATCGCCCAGATTCACGGATTGCACGGATTCTTCCTCATGGAGAGACCGATAAGCAAATGGGAAGGGACTTCCGCGCTCGAGAGTTTTTATCGATCGAATTGCGAATAACGACGGAAAGAATGAACGAAATGCAGCCGTCGTTTCAAAGGTCCCAGATGCGGCTCCTGCCAGGGTTGCCAGATGGTCTTCGCATTCCGAGCGGCGACGGAGGGTCGGAGGAGAGCGGGGGACGATTACGCGACGCGCGCGATTCGTCTCGAGAGGAGAGGTGCGGAGTATCTTGCCGCTGGTGCTTAGCCTTCTGCGGGGCGTGCGAAACGCGCTGAGACACGCCGCGCGTCGGCTGTAGAACCTCGTCGAGGCCATGTCCTCGATCTGTCCGGTGCGACGTCGGGTGCCCTCAGCAGGGCAACTGCTGCGCGGACTTCGAGCGATATTGCGACGGGTCGTCGGGTATGAGGGTTCTCGGAAATTTTTCGCTTCGTCGTCGCGTGAATTCGTGATCCTCCCCCACCCCCCCCCGTTTTCCCATCGAGAATCAGTAACGGATGAAGAATTGCGGACCTTGGCGGAATCACTGCTGGCAGCGGATATTAACAACGTGGGATCGTTCCTCGAGGTTGACCTTCGAGGTCATACCTCTTCTGACGGAGGTGACGAAACGTTCAGACAGTAAGAAATAAAATTCCACTTCGCGGAAGAGGGAATTCGAGGAGATAACCGTGTTTTCAGTCTCTTCGTGGGCGAATTGTCGGCGGAGGTCACGTCCACCCGGACCATAGGCTCGTGACCCTGTTTGACCATTACGAGCCTTTCACGACCGACCCGGAAGACGTGACACTCGAAGAGGAGGAGGAGGTTGATGCCTTCCTCGACGCCGTCGTCGCCACCGACGTCATGCAATCTGCACACCGATTCCTAGCGGAGAAGTTTCGAGTTCCCGAGTCGTCTCGCCTCGTGACGACTTGCAGATTCGAGTCGCCGACTACGACTCGCCCGATGTTCGATTCGCCGAACTTCTTCGTGGGTTTTCGTACAGAGCTGCTGTAGAGGCTTCTCGTTGACCCGATCACGAGGGAGTTCGGATGGGCCGACCCGAATCTTCACATGGGGTTCGCTTAGCCGTTTTCCGAAGTCTCACAGACTGGAAGGATCATTATTACACAGCAAAGTAAAAACGTAGGAGAGCTAAAAATGCGAGAGGTACATATTGTGTCCCTCGGGTCCTCTCGTGTGGTCCGGACGTACACATGTGTACGTTGCAGGCGCAACGTCTGGGTTCTCAATGCAATACTCAAAATCGGCACAAGATGGCGTTTATGTTCCCCCAAACCTCCTCTCGTCCCGACGATGCACCGGACCTTAGGAGAAGAGTTTTCTTCCTTTCCCTGCATTCATCTTATCATGATACTTGTAAAACAGTATTTGGTAAAAGAATAGTTATCATGTTTCAATGGCAATCAATGATTTCGGAAAATTTTAAATGCTGGTGTTTTGTACAGGAACAGAGAAGTATGAACCAACAGGTTACGAGTGTTTTTTTTTCTGACGGAAAGTGATGAGACAGCCCAATGCAAAATGGAGACGCTGTCCGCGTGCCATCAGTGACAGCTCGCTGCCTGTCAGAGACGGGATGCCGGATGATGGTGCCATAAAAGCTCTTTTCAAAGCTGATAATGGACCCTCATAAGCAGGTTTTTAGACTGCTCTAAGCCCGAAATGGATAGAGATAAGAAAGGTACACATGTGTACCTTACTTTGCTTCTGTACCTGTTCAACTGACGTGTTTTACGACATACGTTTGTACCTCATAACATACAACATATGTAACTCACTGTACGTTTCCGCCTTGCTGTGTACGGGTCGGCCGGATCTTGTCGAACCCAGACAGGTGATTGCCTCGACGAGACGGTTTCTGACCAGGAATTTGGGATAGGGCGAAGCCCCACGCCCCAAGCGGCGTAGAGGATTTGTATTCGTAGTGTGAAAAGGGCGATGAAAGCAGCGACTTAAATGGTCTCCTGATACTGATCCCCTTTAGTCTTGTTGAGGGAAAATTAAGCAATCGGTGAGTCGTAGGCCGGAAAATCTGAAATCGGCGGAACGAACAGACGGGAATTTGTCGGCGAATCGAACGAGGCAAGCCACGTCAAGTCACGCTGTCACCGATGACCGTCACGAAGCGATCGAAACGAAACCAACCGATTCGGGCGGACTGATCCAGAACGACGAGACCGCCCTCGAGGAACGACTGAAGGAGATTCCGTTCGACAGATACCCAAGAGACGAAGACGACACCGCCGGATCCAGAGGATTCGAGCACGTCTTCATGGGGGAACCGAAGCAGAACTCGGTCGTTGGATTCCACGGATGGCTCCGGTTCTACCAACAAGAACGAGTCGGCAACGTGAACTATCACGGACAGATCGCCAGCTGGAACTTCACCGACAAGGTATGCCTCCTTCGCCCTCCTTGACCCGCGACCCCCAGCCTCGTCTCACGCAGCACGTCCGCAGGGAATCCTCCTGGCGAGCTCGTTCGAATGGGACGGCTACCGGAAGCCCAAGAGCACCTTCTTCATCGGCGCCAGTCCCGAACTGGAGATGGCCCTCTTCACGGTCTGCTTCGTCGCACGGCCCGATTCCCTCTGTCCCGTCAGACTGGTCGGGGAGGTTCTCCGCGTCCAGACGCGTGCGATCGAGTACCAAGGGGGAAGGCACGTGGCGACTGCGTATTTTGTGATCCCAGGCTCGTCGTAATGTGAAATACGCTCGTGTATTCCGATTTGTCCTCTTCGTCAAATTTTTGCAAATTGTGTCATTTGTGCAAATGCTCTTCGTCGATTCCAATAGTAAATATCACTGGAATTCGATGACACCTTTCGATCGATTGACACGACGAGCGACTCGAACCTCGAGGATGACCGGATTCGTATTGCAAAAATTGGTAAATAAAATTCGAAAATTCAAATTTTATCGGCGAGAGCATCGTCGGATGGGAAATGGAATCGAGAAACGAAACGGTGAATCTTTCCCATCTCGCCTGATGCGTTTAAAAAGACCAAAACAAATTGCATGATAAGGATTCTTCATCTTTGCAGCGCGATTTCCCGTTCTTTCCTCAGCTGGCAGAATCCATGTCTCTTTGCATGGTAATTCCATCTCTGGAGTTTATGTTTTTTTTTCTTCCACTGTGGTTGCAACCGCAGTGCCGCAAGAATTTTGGTATCGAAAATTTATATTTTTTAGAGCAAATTTCTCGATTTCCGAGAAAATGTATTCTCATTCCTTTCCAGATTTCTTTTTTTTTCAGCGTTTTTGCATCATCACTTCATGGAATTGGCACAATGCAAAAATAACGTTCAGAGTAACTGCGGCATAACTGCAAGCTTTAAGCAAATTATTAAAGCTTTACGTAAGCAAGCTAATTTTACGCTTAAACGCCTTGCTCTCTTAATTTCGTTCTGGGAGTGATTCTTAATGACTCCGTCTGGATTCTGCACCAACATATTTTTCACTTCGAGTTTTTTTTCGAGCATATTAAGTATCGCAAAGACATCAGAATCGACCCCGGGAACCCCACCGCCATCTAGCGAAAAAGAGGGAAAAACAGACTCGGTCTGGGCGATCCGCTCGGCGGCGTCGATCTCCTCCGTCTCGAGGGGCAGGGGCAGCACGGCCCTCCCCTTCGTCTGCCCCGTCACCCGGCGGTTCGTCCCCTTCAGTTCCTGGATCTGGTTGCAGATGTCGTCGCGGATCGGCTGGGGCCAGGTCTCCAGGTTTCCCTTATTCGAGAGCAGGGGGATCAGGACCTGCGAGAGGAGCGGATGAGAATTAGCTCATTTCTTCCGACGAAAACACGCAAATTAAAGGATTTTTGGATTCCTGGTTTTGAGATTCTCACTTTTCGACGAAAACAAGATGGAAACTGTCGTCACGGACGCGATAACGAAACCGAAACAGTCTGCTTCTTACAATCAGTATTCAATAACAGCAGGTAACGAAGAGCGCAAAAAGGAACGAAATCGAAAGACGAATCGGACCAAAAATATTAATGCCAGCGCTTCGAAAGGAAACTCGAACACCATCCAAAAAGCCACAAATGAACGGAACCTCGTCGATGAGAATGCAGAGCTGATCCAGCGGAACGGGCGACATGTCCCCGAACACCAGCGCCTGCTTGATCTTGTCCCTCGGGACCGCGCCTCGGCTCTTCTTCATGAAGTAGACGCTCTTGGACTTGGAGCCGATGGGGAAGGCGAGGGCGATGCCCAGCTGACCGGCGGCGTTCTGGGTGATCACGATCAGGTCTGGGTAGTCCTTGTCCAGGAATTCCTGCAGCGAAGTTTTTAAATGTATAATTATAATAATTTTTTTTTTACATGGATACTTTGTGGGATACGAAAAGGGCTGACCTGTATGATTTTCTTGTTGTCTTCCGAGGCGATGAACTTCGTCCATCGATCCGGTTTCAGTCGAAGGGTTTTCTGCAGGTAATCCGAGATGAACTCGGGCCGCGTGTCGTTCGGCACTTCGGCCATCTGTCACAGAGTTCCACAGAGTACAGGCCACTGTCACATTTTGGCGAACTTCGCGAACAGTTTCACGGGTCACTGTCACCAGCGAACAAACAAGACTGGAGGACGACGTTTGATCAATACACATTAAAGGATATGAAACAAGCAGGTAGCAGCTTCCCCATTTGCTCACTTATCACAGGTTCCATGAGCTATTATAGTCATTATAGAGAACTTAAGAGGTGGAAAAGTCCCCGAATTCGTGAATAAAAATTATTACGGAAAGAAGTTGGGATAGTCCACGTGGTTTGCATGCGCATAGGACATGAAGGGTGGCTGCCGAGAAGGAGCAGTGCTGATCAGCTGGAGGTGTTTGCGGAATCATTAGAGTACATGAAAACGGGTCAACCATAGCCTTATACTGAACGCTAGACCCGCCAGGAGGGGGGAAACGGGCCAAGAAGACAATCCGGAGAGGTCTCTACTCGGACAGGGCAGGAAGGAAAACATGGCTGCGCTCGCTCGACGTATCTCTTCGCTGCGGCTCACGCCGAATTTCATCTATCGCTCGGTTCTGCAGCCCGCCTGTGTTGGCTGCCTTCACACGCTTTCCTCCAGGGTTCACATCCACAAGAGGACGGTAATACCTCAAAATGTAGCACTGTCTCCTCAGGTGAGCTGTAAGAACACGAAGTTAGGCCAAGGCCTTCGTTTTTGGTACATTACTTCGGCGCAGGTTAAACCAAAGGCAAAGTAGTGAAATATCTCATTTGAGAAGCTTGAAATGATCAAAAAGTTATGGAAGAGTTGAGGTTTTAATTTGTAGTTTTGTTCATAGGCATTATACGTCGTATGCACATCTTCATACACACCCAGTCCAATCCATACATTAACTTCTTGCGCCCACACCCAATCCTGTAGGTCCAAGTAAAGTAGATGGATTGCAAGGGAATGGGAAAAATCTTGCACTTATGTTAACCCCTTCTTCCTGGCCCTTTCAGCTTCATTACTACAACCTCATTTGTTATTCTTTGGCATTGAATGTACTGCTAATATGTACTCATGAATATTTCAGCTTCATTGAGGCAATTTGATGAGCTGGATAATGGCTTAAAGGCCACTATATACAGCTAGGTTTTTGCATTAGAAACAATCAATGTGACATCAGAAGGATTTCTAATATGGAGGCCTCTAATGTACTCTTCAAATGAGGTTTTCAATTGTCAGAGTGCATTGCATGCCCCCATATAGTCACCAATCTCACCATACCCCATCTCCCATATATCCCTCTGCCTACAGGTTGAGTTTGCCTTAGCCCTGGGTGTTGTGTAGATAGCAGGTGAGGGACAACAAGGGAGGAATGAAGGGTGAGCAGAAGGAGATAGTCTTGCCTGGTGTTTATAGTTGCTAGTATGAATCATAAAAAGAATAAGAAAAGATCATGTTTTTTCTGCATTTAGTATGAAAATCTGTGGGATTGTGGATTTGGGAAAAACCAGTTAACAAATACCTGTGTTCTTGCTACATTAAGCACAAAGTGCAATGTACCCATAAAACATGCCTCAAGAGCATCTGTTGCATAGCATGCAAAGTTTCATTGGCATCAGTGGTTAATGTACCTCAATATATTGAACTACATTCATTATATTTGCCAGTAACGTAATGCTGTCTACAATAGATTTGTTCAATTTTTCCCATTTTCGTGCCATGATTTCCATGGTTCACTCTAATCCTAGGCCTATGTTGTTGTAGATCACAGTCCCTTCTTCCATAGGTAAGCCTATTCTTAATGCATTCTCAGAACATCAAGGGAAACTTGAGGCCCATTTGAAGGCCATAGATCAATTTTGAGTTACATTCAAGCAGCAAGAGGTAATGGTAAATTAATGGGTTCATGTTTCAGACCTTGAGACTTCTCAGGGCACTCCGTTTCTATTCAACCAAGACACTCTCAAGGGGTGAAATTCAAGACAGGGTGTTGAATGTTTGCAAGAACTTTGACAAGATAACTGCAGATAAGGTATGGTGAGTTCCCAGACTTTAGAAGCTTTCCCTTCCTTTGTTTTTCACTAGGGAAGGAGTTGTGCCCAACCGATTCGCTTCTACAGTGAAAAAGCACCTCTGAGCCTGGAGATGATCCGAGACAGGGTCTTACTTGTTCTCAAGTTATATGATAAACTTGTCCCTGAGAAGGTAAGCTTTGTTAGACTTTTGGGCCTCATTTTCTATCTTCCGATATACTTCAGAAGATCTGATAATTGCCCAGATTCTGTTATGCTTGGTCTTATCAATTAACTATATATAAACAGATGAGAGAGTGACATGAAGACAAGATTAAATTATTACAACTGACAAGTAATGACATTGACACCTTGACCGTATCTTTTGCCTCATGCTGCTTCATTTTAAAATAAGCAAAGAAAGGCGAAAAGATCCTCAAATGGTTTCAGTTGATGGTCTAAAATGATGAACTGCTCTCTTGTTAACTTTCAGTCTGAATCATTCTTGCTTTTCAGTTGAGTTTGGAATCACATTTCATGAATGACTTGGGGCTGGACAGCTTGGATCATGTGGAAGTCATTATGGCCATAGAGGATGAGTTTGGTGTGTGCAACATGTTTATATATTCCCTTCCTCCTGTTATCATTTTATGCACTGCTTTTTCTGACATTTGGCAGGTTTTGAAATCCCTGATGGTGATGCTGAGAAACTGATGACACCTGCTGCTATTGTGCAGTACATAGCAGACAAAGAAGATGTGTATGAATAGTGGTAGTTACCACAATGGTGCTCATGAACAACATTTGTGCATTCATGGAAGGCAGTGCACCATTGACAGGAGAGATGCAAATCACGTCAGAGTTATGAGGAGATACGACAAGACGAGAGACTTGCATCCCATCCTCCTTAGATGTTCTCGTGCCAGTCTGGTACCCGTGTTACTCTTAGGTGGCAATCATCAAATGGATCTTCTGTAGTGGTATTATGGTTTGGTCATTTTCATTTCACAGATCAGAGGTACCCTTCATCATCTGTGAAGTAACTCAGGCAATGTGGTCTGCCCCACCATGCTTTTGTTGGGCAGATGTGGCAAAAATGAAATAAGTGCAATTATGAATTCCATGAATGAACACAAAATGATCATTCTGACTGTGAGCAGGAGAGTAAATAAAGATAGAAAGTCCATGCTCTCTGGTAGAGGTGCAACATTATTCTATAGATAATTTGGGATCTACCCGACTCCTAAAATTATCAGCATACTTATCAATATACAGATGTAGGTGTGCCATCTAGTTCATGATTGCATTTGGATAGTTTCAAAGTGTTAAGTGAACCATTTAAAATATGCCAGAAGTCCCAACTGCTATTTACCATTAAGTATCTTGCAGAGTCACATGCCTTACAAGAATCAGCCTTTTATGCATCAGAATTTCATTTGAAGTACCTGCACTTCAGCATGTCAAAAGTTGACATTCAGAATATTGGCCAACAGCCAACATTGATTTGACCAAGCTTACTTCCAATGATATTATACTGATGTTGTTGCACCTCTAGTTTCTGGTGAGTAGTGTCTTTTGCATCTGCATTAGTCTCAATTTTCCTGCAAATCATTTTTCACATTTCATGCACTTGACTTCCCTTATCTTTGGGAATGTGGAATGCCCTCATCTGCCCAATTTTGTAAAAGACAGCATTGCCCAGTGAAAGCAACTTACCATGCCACTAAGGAAAGCCATGGTCTGGTTGAGGCAATCGTGATGCTTGGGAGTATTTGATGACACTGGAGAGAGTAAAAAATCCCAGCTCAGGCCCCATTCTTGTCTAGCTGGTTCCCAATCCACAGCTGGCCATCAATGCCGAAGCCATCTGAAGGTGTTTTAATCTCTCCTCACTTGGTGCCTTAAAGGATTCTGGTCTTCAGTCTGGATTAAATAGAAACAACACATCATTCATCTAATCTACCAATTCACACTCTGCAACAAAACTGGTGACATGTAAGCATGACATGAGATAATTTCAGTCTTCAATCAGGCTAGGTGCATTTCCATGTACCTTAGAGACTGTCAAGTGCAAATATTGTGTTGTCGCCCCCATCCCATTGATACCCCCTGGTAAACCTTGTCCCTGAATCCACACCATTTCCACCTCGTCTGCGGTAGATTTACAGGTGTATCGGACAAATCTAGGGTTCACACTAGCTTTTTTAAATCTTGAGTCCCAGGGACTCAAAGCACCAAACCCTTTAAGTCCAATCACAAACTAAACTACATGAGTATGCCTTGAGTTTTTAAGGATTCCTTAAAAGTAAGTTTATTCTAGCACAAAGTTTATTTTTACTCAAGTGAAAAGAAAAATAACCATTTAGTCATTATTCACTTAGTCTGACCACCTCTGTTTCATGTCATGAAAAGTTAAGCAAGCATTTTCTAGAAGCCTATCTGCCTCCTTCAGAGGAGGACCTTCCAGGCCGAGGAGCATCGGCCGAGATGGCGTTCCACCACGGCCGAGCCGACTTCTCGTACGAGGAGTTTGGTTGCAAAAGTTGACAGGGATACATGCAGCATTTCTGGCTAGCATGGTGAAGTCTGGGAAATCATGAAACTCCCATGACTTGTGTTGGGTTGCAAGGTTTTGAAGTCCAGAAATGAGGACTTCAGACTGTCTTCATTTATGAGACTTCTTTAGTATCACGAGAGTGACAGTAAAAGGCAATCGGGCCCTTCAGACTTTCCTGTCCATACTCTTTTCGACCGAAGAAGGACCTTTTCTAGCAGGATACTTCTCAGGAGAGAATATTTCACTGTGTGCACAAGATCCTGCTCTTCAAGTTTGCAATAACTTTCCGCACAATATCTTTTCTGGCTTCCACCAGTTTATTCTTTTCCCCATCGAACTGCACTGTAGATGACTTCGTGATTGCCACTTCTGAAATTATGCTGACCTTTCAGGTCAACATGCCTTGAAAGAGTGTCCTTTCGGAAGTTCATGCAACCTTGAGTGAAAACGTTTTTCACGTTCGCCTCGTGACAGGTGTCGCAAAACATCTTCCCACGTTCGAAACGCAGTCATTTGAACTGTTTTTCCCACTCTGGAAGGTACTGTCTGCCTTTCCTTTAGCCTCCTTGGACTCACTTGCCATATTGGGAATTTGGCCAAGTCAATGCACAATTCCGTTCAGGGTTAGCACACCGCCGCGTGCAGCCCCCACTTCCTGGTGACTCGCGATTTCGACCCCCGGAGTCGCGCCACGAGTGTTTTTGTCAGTCTCTTGGGCAGTATCGCCGTCAAAATAAAAATTAGGAAATATCATCTCGACTTGAATGACTTACGTACAAGGCCTTCCTCGACAAGGCCTTCCTCGCGAACGGAATGACATCCCCAGTGAAGGGAATTCCAATAAGGCGAGCGGGAACGGGAATCCTGCGTCCCGAGCCGGAGCGACGTCACCCCATTCTCAATCGACGTTCCGTCGACATTGAGAAGATGTCCATTTTTCAACGTACAGGCATTATATAGTACCTCCTCCCTCATCCAGGGTCGAAAAAAGCGCTAAAAAAAAATTGAATTTCCAGGGTCATCCTCTGTAACTCCCTCTTTTTAAACAGGCGTAACTCGTGTTGTGGGAATGGTGAAAGCATCATTCTAACGGCATTTTAAAGATAATTTAACGCATTTCATACGACACGGATTAAAGTTCCACCCGATCACCAGCATCTTCCTCAGTCACCATCCACAGTGAGAAAATTCTCCAACCGGTCGAGAAATCCGGTTTTCCTTCGGTAAACATTTTCCTGGACCCAACCCCCCCCTCCCCCCCCCCCAAAAAAAAAAAAATTATAATAATAATAAGTCCGTGGGAGACTGTAAGCAGCTGCACCTTTTGTTTTTTAAAAGGCTTCATGCAGAGCTTTCCCCTGATGTATCTTCGCAAGGTCTCTCTGTCCACTCTCAAGGTTTGCGCAAGCTTTCGACGCAAACGAAAATCCGGATTAAAATAAAATTCGGTCGATCAGCTGATAACCCGACGGTGAGGAAACAGCAACGAGTCCCGCGAGTTTGAGTCCCTTCGAGAAAATACGAGTCCGGGACTCGCTATAGCGAGTCGAAGCCCTTTCTCGTTTTTATCGCCAACGCCTGGGGCTGGCAATTTCGGGTTCACGAGTTTTTTTTTTTGCAAAAAACGTTCTCATTAATGCACCGTGTCGGCACGCTGGATTTGCAAAGACGGTTTCCGGCTCGTCCCCGTGCAGATCCGTGTTCTTCGGCGGACGTCGTACGATGGGATCGGAAAGAACCAAAAAAAAAAAAAAATTCCAAAAGAACGACTGCACGATGGATGTCGAGGACCTCCTCCTCCATTCCAGCCGAGCCGGCTTTCATTCGCGGCGCCGGCTCTCCGCGGGAACGGGAGTCCCGCGTCCCGAGCCGGATCGACGTCACCCCATTCCCAATCGACGTTCCGCCGACGTTGAGAAAATGTCCATTTTTCAACGTACAGGCATTATATCGTAATTGAATTTCCAGGGTCATCCTCTGTAACTCCCTCTTTTTAAACAGGCGTAAATCGTGTTGTGGGAATGGTGAAAGGATCATTCTAACGGCATTTTAAAGGTAATTTAACGCCATTTCATACGACACGGACTAAAGTTCCACCCGATCACCAGCATCCTCCTCAGTCACCATCCACAGTGAGAAAATTCTCCAACCGGTCGAGACATCCGGTTTTCCTTCAGTAAACATTTTCCTGGACCCAACCCCCCAGCCAAAAAAAAATAATAATAATAAGTCCGTGGGAGTGAGATCGGTGGAGCCCATTCAGAGCGACTCGTGGGCCACCCAGAAACTTCAGACAGCACAAAATTCCCTAAAACATTTCAACTTTCTCAACGGGCGGAGAGGCAGGCGAGAAGCCCCGACCTCGCTCCCAAACTTTTTATTTATTTATTTATTTATTTATTTGTTATTATGATTTTATTTTATTTTATTTATTTATTATGATTTTATTTTGTTTTATTTATTTATTTATTTATTATTATTATTATTTTTTTTTTTGGGGGGGGGGGCAAGGAGAACGTTTACCGAAGGAAACCCGATATCTCGACCGGTTATAGAATTTTTCTCGCGGAAGTTATGCAGAATTTTCCGCAGCAGCTTCGCCGACGCACTGAATGATGTCGCCGAGCGTTCAAGAAAAACTGCGGAAAATGCAGGTGCTCGAACTTTAATCCATGTCGTATGAAATGGCATCGAATCATCTTTAAAATGCAGATAGAATGATGGTTTCATCATTCCCACAACACGAGTTACGTCTGTTTAAAAAGGATGGATCACCCTTTGGATCCGATAATCCAGCGTTAAAATCCCCTCAGAGTTCCTTCACCGGATCAGAATTCGAATCGCGGAATCAGCGGTCAGGCGGCATCTCGCGTCGATTCGGAGAACCTATTTTCTGCGGAAGACGCCGGGTAGAAACGACGGTGAGAATGTGATGGAACGCGAATTTGCGCTTAATGGCCTCTGAACGAGTTCGCCGATTCGCGAGGAGTCGCCAATTGCTGCGAATACGGTTAATTAAGGTACACAACGTTAGGCGAATGTTTTTCCCTCGATCGTGCGCGATGAAACCGAGGAGAGAGAGAGAACTCGTCGAAAATGCGGCGATTCGATCGCGTGAGTTGGAGTCGGCATCGTGACGACATTCGTCAAGGCTCGCGTTCAAACGGGAAGCCGATGCGGTTTCGAAAAGCGAGGCCAACATTTTTTTTTCCATGCACGAGGCTCTCTTCCCATCTCACCGCACCGTGCAAATCGCCAACGGCGCGAGACGTGCCTTCCATTTCGCGACCCAGACGTGAAACGTGAGCAGGCACAGTAGATTTGCACCCATTCCGCCTGTGGCCATTACACACGGCCTGGCCTGGCCATTACGCACGGCGCACCGGGCGTGGGAAGAGCGAGACGACGACCTAAACGACAGTTGCCGCGTGGACCTCCACCCATCGATTCCCAGCCCCATCGCCGTATCCAAGCGCCGATCAACAGCATGCCCACACTCGCGCGAGCCCTCACCCGTGAGCAAACGCCCTCGCATGCACGCTTCCACCCTCTCACTCGCCTCTTGCGATGATCCCCACCGACCGATCGAGCGTCACTTCTTCCCGTCGCGCCCAAACGAAGGCGAAGATGGGTGGCATCCAGGGCGTGTGCACATCGCTCCCGAGGCCAGCGACTCCGAAGCAAGCAACCGCCAAACCGGAGAAGGCGAAGGGCGACGACATCCAGACGAGGGTTCTGAAAATCTGCGGGGATCTCTTCGGCGTCCATGAGGCACGGTGAACTTCGCACTTTCCCGTCCTTTATTTCCGGCATTAGCGCGGCACGAATTCCGTTTTGCCTTTCTCTACCGATGTTCGAGCTGCATGAGATAAGTTTTTTTGTGGTCTCGGATTTTTATTTGTCGTTTGAGATGCTCGAGCGGCTCCACCTCGGCCGTGCCAAAAGATACCCCAACTACTACATGCAATTCTTAGTTGACCTTGAGGTTATTTGGCGTCAACAAAGGTCCATATACTCTTTTAGTTGCACCTTACATCTTTTGCATGATGGTAACTTTTTACAATTAAATCATTATTTCTTAAATTGTTAATCTGCAAAGAAACTACTCCTACACTCAGGCCCATGGAGGGGGGGAGGCATTTTTTCAAATTTCCCCGGGTCCCATGCCTGGGGAGGACCGCCCCCCCCCCCCCCCCCCCCCCCCCCCCCCCCCCATTATGCGAACTAGCACTAATCGGAACGATATAAAAATTAAAATTATTAATGATGTTATACCATGCAGCCTCCTCCAGTACCAGCGTACTGGTTAGTTTGATAACAGTTTCACTATCAGACAGAAGCCCCCCAAGGTTTCACAGGTTCAAGAGGTGCCCCACAGAGATTTGCCCAGGGCCCCATAATTCCTTTCGGAAAAGAACGCAGTCGCACCCGCACATGAACAACGTGTTCTCGCCCTGCAGTTGACCCTGGAGTCAGACTTCACCACCGACCTGGGAATGGACGGCCTGGACCACGTGGAGCTCATCATGAACGTCGAGAAGGAGTTCGGTGAGTCCTTCCGTCCCCCCTCGGGAACCTCCTCGCGCCCTTCCCCGTCTCGCTCTATCCCTCTTCCCCCCAGGCGTGACCATCTCCGACGTCGACGCCGTGCAGATGCAGAGGCCGGCCGACATCGTGCGGTACCTCGAGGCCAGGGCGGACGGGTCCAAGTATGCCGTTCGAGAGTAGGCGCAAGCCGTGTCGAGTACGAGTACGAGTGCGTGTCTGAGGATTCCGTGGGATTGACGGAAGCCGAAGAACCAGTGAGACGTGTTCTAGCCTAATTTCCATAGGAAACCGTGCAGACGGACTTCTCTGCGTTTCGAACGACTGTAATATTGATTTCTGTACTGCAAGGTACCGAATACGAATAGAATTAAAATAGCTCTAATTGGACGAGACCGACCGGAATTCAACTGAATCCCTTCTAGCATTTGGTGATCCCAAACGAAAAGGAGCCCTCTACCTTGAAACCCAGTTTTTTAAATTTCGTTGGTTTATCGTTGGCGCAAAGCTGGGGGAAGTTGGCTCATCTTCAGCGAATGATTGGCCGGCCAATCGTTCGCCGAAGATGAGCCAATGTGGTCTCAGTAGGGAGTCACTTCCCGGATTCTACTGAAATGAGTCCCCTGTCCCTTTGACACGGTTCTCTAAGATTCCTTGAAACATTTCTTTTTGAAGACGTAACCTTGCTCTGGAATAAACCAGGAAATTCCGGCCCTGATGTCCGTGGGAGGATTCTTCTACTTGACACGACGATCTACGCGACCTTTCCCCCTGCAATTAAAGGCATTGAAAAGTCTCATCACGTGCAAGGCCTGGCCTCCTGCGGGAGGACAGGACGTGCTACATATTACAGAGACATTTGGTGGCATATTACCAACAACACTTCCACGAGGCGTGCTCCGTGGCAGCGGAAAATCGACTCGTTCGGCGATTCGACAATTGTTGCGCGCACGCTGGGTCGACATTGATCGACACACAGGATCGACAGTGCGGCCCTACATTGCGACCCTGCCGATGAATGGGATTCGATTGGAGTGGAGCCTCTAGTTATACTCTCTATGATTCGGAGGGGGCGTGGTTTCGGATGTTCTCTTGACGACAGGAGTGTACCTAGGTAAGGTACTGCTCCTTCAGCTCTCCCAGACGAAGGAGCAAGTCAGAGGCTGAAGAGGTCGTAATGCTCTAGGTGCAGTTTATGTTTTTTTTTTTTCCTAAACCTTTTCATCAGAGTGAAAAGTCGGCTGATGGTTGGGGCATGTTCGGTTTCCCAACAATGAGCCGAATTTGGCCCGACGAAGGGCCATGCCCGACCATAAGCCGGCTTAAACCAACCGTTAGCCAAACATATGCCAGTGATGGCCCAACTAAGGCTTACGTATGCGTTGACTAAAAACCATCGATGGTCCGATGAAAATTTTTTCGACTGGGTAGGTCTCGATTCCCACCTCGGCCGTGAAGTTGGGGCCGAGCCAGTTCAGCCAAAAGACGCTGTCATATTTACATTTCTATTGATAATTTACAGTTCTCATGTTCAGGGGAAGTGTAATATGATCCTTCCTTCCGGTGTCATATGAAAACTTAGCGCTCTGTTACGAGGACACCAGCTAATTTTCCATGGATTCCTAGGGGGTTCGCTAGCGCTAGACCTCGGCCTCACCCACGGACCGTCTTCAGATCAGGCCTAGGCCCACTTTCATTCGTGAGATTCTCGATCCTCGACTTAGTGAGGCCCATAAGGATCGATCGGGGCCTTTCAGACATCTCGCCGATGAGTAACGTCAGGCCGATTATGGACCCGTTTCGAGTGTCGCAAACCATCTCGACCTGAGGTCTGAGGGGAGAATGCCTCCGAGAACGAAATGCAGGTTGGGCGCAGTATGGATGTCCAAGTATGGATTCATACAAGGGCCCAGTATGGATTCAGTATGGATGTCCAAGCACGGCATTTCCACATCAGACTACGTCGACCGATCACCGATGATCGCTGCTTCAGACTCACCTCATCCCATGAAATAGATGCAAGAATTCATGTATTAAAAAAGCAGAAGCGCCAGAACTGATACGAAGGCCGACGCAGCCATGAATCCGACTTAGCTCCAGCATGATATCCGGCAACCGTGGGAGACGTGACTGGAGTCAGCACGTTAAGTCTAATTGTACGGCTGTTAATTTCAATTTTCTTAAATAGCGAAATGGTGCATCGCAAACAACAAAGGGTACTTTTCGTGACTTACATATCAATATCTTTCTATAGGTTGGTCTATTTCCTCCGAAATCTGCTCAGGAGTGGCTACCCAGAGGGGGGGGGGGGGGGGGGGGGGGGGGAAAAGGGGGGGGGGGGGGGGGGGGGGGGGGGGGGGACTGGAAAGAAATTCACATAATACAAAAAGGCGAGATTCAGTGTCCTCCACAACCCCACAACAATTGGAACTTCAAATTTGCTGGAACGATTCCGTGCTCAATATCGGAGTTGATGAAAGGGAATAGACGATACCGAAGCCAGTCACTCCATTTCCCTAAATTGCGATGGAATATGCAGTACAGCAGATTGCTGCATCGGCTGCACGGCATGTTCTCCTGCATCTGAGAAAATGCTGGATGGGCTCGCTGGATTCCATTTTTCCGTCCGGCATGCAGCCATAGGCCATGGGGGCAAAGGTGCGCCCTCTCCGCAAAGAATGACCGAAGTACAACAAAATAATGGCATATGGAAACATGGGGACAAAATGCTGTTTCACGAAAAAATTTAAAAAATATTATTTTCCTATTTGTTTAGGGCTTCAACTGAGAGAGATCCCTGTCACCACGTAAAAGTATGGGGTGGTAGGGCGAGGGCCTTCGGTCCTCTCCATGCCTAGCCCCCCCCCCCCCGGCCTCCTCTCTCTGCTACCATAATAATACTGAGATACCCCACTGGATTCTGGAAAAATTCCTTTAATGTTATATCAGGGACATTTGGAACTTGTCCCCTAATATTTTTTATAAGTCGTCGCCCAAGTTGCGACATCCAACATGCTTCAAGGCACGAGCATGAACTCGTCTAAGGCGCGGAGATGAGCCCAGGCCTGAGGTTGGTCCTCGTTTCCCCTCGAATCTAAAAACATTCGTAATTTCCACGGTGGGAAACAGGCCTGGGTCTCGTCGCAGGCAGAAGCTGCGAAGGAGTTCCACGTCGGTCGAGGAGTCTCCAGGATCGCCGCTCGGTGCGGTAACGATGGGATCTTCGATATTATTTATTGTAACGACGTTAAAATATACAAATAACGATACCACCCTGTAAGGGCGACTTCCTCTGGCTTTCTGCCTCGACGAAGACGAGGACGATCGGCTTAGGGGACTCACGTACGAAGACGGGAATGAGCTGGTGATGTTCTGGGACGAGATGCCGGCCGCTCGGAGCATTATAAAACGTTTCTCTTGGTCAGCTCCTCCGTTTCCGTTGCGGCGAATACAGGAACGGGGTGATTCGCACGCGAATGAAACTGTTCGGGAAGCGGGTGAAGTCGTCTCTCACGAGAGCAGCGTTCTCTCTCCAACTCGCAGGAGCGAGGGACTGGGTCGGTGAGAGGCGTGCACGAGCGTGCAGTTCTCACCTCTTGCCGCAGTTTTCAACCGGAGTGGGAGGCACGCAGTGGACAGCAGGATTCCCATGCAGGCCTCTCCCCTGCTCGGCGGTGAGCATCCCGGCTCCGTCTGTCGGTGGCGGGAGTCGCAGAAGAGCAGCGATTCGCGCCGGAACTTCCCTGTCTTCGGGTTAGGGTTGCCAACTCCGTAGGTTTCTATGGGAACTAAAAGTCTGGCAGGCCTAGGCGGTTCCCCGGTCCTGAGACCCAGCACCCATCGTAGTCCATAAGAAGTTATTGGGCGGCGGCTATCACGGCTTACAAAAATAGAGGCAGCCGGGAGGAGGAAACCTTGGAGTTGTAACCCGTCAGCCAGGGCCGTTTCTAGGCATATTGGCGCCCAGGGCAAAGAGTTCCAATGGCGCCCTCTCCCCCCTCACCCACCAAACCAAAAACTGCGACGCGAAGCACCACCTCAGCTCTGGCGATTAGGGCCTTATCCTCGGAACTGATGAAAGTCATTTTGTTACATTTGTAAATTAAGTGGATTCCGCTTTATTGGGACACGTTGATTCGCCCCAATTAAGCGGCTGCCTTAATAAAGCGAACTTACCTTTTAGTATAGTAAGAAACTCAGACACGAATGTCCTTTACTTGTGCAAAACGAAAAATTACAATTCAAGAAATTTGCTCATAGTTGCTTGTTTCACATCCGAAAAAGCTTTTCTGAAGCACCGATGTCAAGAGCACCGTGTTCTCCATTGTCAGCCTCATAGGTTGACGCTGGCACCTCTGGTCCAGAAAGAAAGCCAGATCCACGGAAGCAGTTTGCTATGGTCTTAAAATTCTCTGCTTAAGTCTTGGTCTTAAAAGTCTCTGCTTTAACAGTCGGCCGGTTCTTAACCACAAAACACACGGCGAAGAGGAGGGGGAGAGAGGGCGGAAAAAAAAAAACATCTGGGACCGACGGCTTAAATTCACCATGACCATGCTCCAATAAAGCAGATATTCGTCCCAAATATACGGTGAAATTTCTATGCACTTGCATAGAAATGGTTCCGTTCCTGACAAAATGTCCCGATAAACCGGTTGCCCCTATTAACCGATGGCCCAATAAAGCGGAATCCACTGTAATATAAAGCCAAGTCAAGGCATTTTCCTCCACGCTAACCATTAAAAAAACACTTGTTTTTATTATTGTGTTTCTTAGGAAACCTGTCTATGGGGCTACACCTGCGGTTGCCAGAACAGTCCTAGATTCAAGCGACGTCCGAGTAAATAACTCACCTTGGGTTCACCTTAAGAGGTAAAATTCCCCATGGCAAGTTAAAAATTCAAAAACTTAAGCCTCCATACTAAAGAGAAAGCTAGGATTATGGGATTAACCGATGTACGTTTCGAAATGAAGGGAGTATACGAACAACCCACTTTCATAGCATGCACCTCATGAGATCGAGCCGAAGACTGAAACAGAAGAGAAAAAAATTGGTTTTCTTTTTTTCCTTTATTTCATGTAGTCGGTCCCACCTTTTTTCAGAAATTGATCGTGATAATAAATTGAAAGAATTAATAAATTGCTTTCCCCGCCCGGACTGTATTGTACTCGTCTCAATCCAATGGGGCATTTCCCATCATTTTGCGCATGCATCGCGATGGTCGATTCACTATCGATTCTTCCAACCATCGATAGTGGTATCGATGCATCGACTTATCGTGACAGTCCTACTTGATACCCATTGCCTAGTCGCGGCGTGGCATCATGCCGCATGAACGAGGGGAAAGTTGGGAGGGGGGAGGCTTCTGTCTGATAGTGAAACTGTTATCAAACTAACCAGTACGCTGGTACTGGAGGAGGCTGCATGGTATAACATCATTAATAATTTTAATTTTTATATCGTTCCGATTAGTGCTAGTTCGCATAAAGTGGACGCTAACCACATAAAAAATGCCTATTTTATTATGGTGTTCCTGCCGTCAGCAGGAGCCCCTCATAACTAAATAAATCCCCAAAAATGAGATCTCCAAGTCTGGAGAGTCGGCACGGAGAAACTGGCTGAGGTGAATACCCTTGCTTCTCTGGTGCGAAATCTTCGCAGGTATAATTAGAGATAGAAAGAGGATAAGAAGTGTTTGGAGTCGAGGAAGCTGAACCAATAAGAACAGAAAAATTAGAAATAATTTATTCCGTCAGACAAATCCAAGTTTGCACGACAAGAAAGGCAAACATTAGTGGGGAATGCAGTGCACTTGAATGCCTGAAAATGGACCGAATCGAAAACAGTCAAAACATTTTGCGAATGTACCTGTTCTACAGGTAAAATATCACAGGCAGGATTTTTATATTTCCAGGGAAGATGCTATAAAACGAGTTCAAAAGATATAAAACAATAAGTGCAATACAGAATGACTTCCAAATGATCACCACTTTAGATTATACAAATAAGTCTGTGGAGCAGTCAGGGGTCTAAATAGGGTTGGGCAAGGGCAAAATAACTAAGGAAAAACCTAGCATGAAGGGTAATTTATGGGAAAAAGTTGGTTGATCTGGTGTAAGGAAGAAATAACGAAAAAACAAGAGGAAAATACAACTAAGTGTTAATCTCCATTTCAGAGTTTCCTCTACAATGCCCCAAAGTAACAACCAAAGCCTGCAGACTTCTTCTGAATCCATGGACTCTGAAAAAGCCACAGCTGGTTTCTAAGAACAGATATTTGCAGAAAAGGCTAACTAGATACACCACAGTAAGGCACAAAGTCAGATAATGTAGAACGTAGAACTAAATTGATATGTAATTCATGTGTAATGGATCAAGAATATTGCAATTGACCCAGAATGAACAATAATCATGAGAAGTTAGCTGTCCTCAAGGCATCATATCACAGTCACAAATTTCATCAATTCAACAGGAGAAGCATTGCAAACACAAGTTGAAAAGTCCTTACCACGCGAGAGCTTCTTGGAATGTCAGTTGCAATGAGTTGGCAACACCAGAATCAATGAGACCAAGCCAAACTATTTTTAGGGTTCACCTTTGATTGATATCTATAGGTATCAATCAATTTACTGGCTGACTCATATCTATTCCACTACAAACGTCACATCTTGGCACAAAGTGAAAAGTCAGCACCAATAAAATGCACAGGTAATAATATCAATTAGAAAGAAAGAAAAAGCATCAGAACTGACATGTTCATTCACAGCATAACTGCATGGCAGGAGCACCTGCACTCCATATTATATATGTATATATATTCTATTTGTGGCATGATATCACCCATGCACACACGATTCAAGATCTTGTAAGTTTCCACAAAAGATCAGCCTATATCACATTACACCACAGTGTATAGATGCACTAGGGTGGGGGAAGCTGCTTCTTTTCACAGAATAACAGCTGAACATGGAAGTCGTGTTGGACAAGCCAGTTTGTGAGAAGAATCATGCCAGATTGCAGTCATGAGCAACCCAGACATATGTATATCTCAATTTATCACTTTTGCAAGGAGAATTTTGCTGTTTCTGGCAGAGATCACAAGTCAGGCTGAAGATAATAATTAGAGCTGGTGAAACATATAACAAAAAATTGCTCACATTTTGTTTCAACTTGATACAATTTTTTTGCAATAGTGACAAGATGATAAATCATCCATGAGAATATACCCAAGCCTAATTTCAAGTGCTAATAGAAATGCTACAATTTCTGGATTGTGTATTGAAAATACCATCAGTATGGTTATCACTAGCTTTCAGAGAATCACAGACCGAATCCTTAAACATGACATTCGGGGAATAGCCATTATCAGATGACTTCTCCATGAGCTTCGAGTGGCAGTTGGGTTCTGCATCTCCATCTGGAACTACCCCATTCAATGAAGGGGTGGAGCCAGAGGAACTTTCAGAACCATGGGCAGAGTGATGGCAGGACATTGACTTGCTGAGAACATCCAGCCAGAAGATCTTGGTCGGATGGAAGAAAAAGTAGTAGACGAGCATGAAGGCAATGCCAAGGGCAAAAGTCACAAAATGTACCACAAGGGCTGGGATCTTGTACCACATCTGGGAGTGAATGGTGTTCATGAACCACATTATGACCAAGGTGGAGTTCTCAGAAAATACAAGAATGTAAAATAAGGTGTAATGCTTCCGTGTGGGTTTGCTGTTGATGTTAAGGTATTCAAAGATGTTGATGATAGCAATGAGAATGTTGAAGCTCTCTTTGAAGCGATGATCACAGGCAGTGGTATTTGTGAAGAAGGCCCAGCCCCAGATGATGCCCACATGGGTGCTTGCAACCACAAACACCCACCAGACAAATGCAGATGCAAAGAGGCCCAAAGCCAGGACTCTGGCAGCTGGAAGAGAATTTCAACACATGAGCAAGGACTTGAAGAAGCAGCATGACAATTAACACAGCAATTCGGTAAGTCTCAATCAAGGCACATGAAAAAAAGGCAACATAATATAAGGTGTCTACATGTAAACATGCAAGGAAATGTCAAAATTTAGCAATTTAACATATTCTATGTAGGAATACCACTTGTTCATACTGAGGTTGTTCAGCAAGAACAGAGAGGGAATAGGAAGGAAGATGGCAGGGGGCAGTGTCAGACCTTCATAAATGAAAGAGCTGATTAGGAAGAAGAGAACATACAGGGTGGCCCATTTAAGTCTTTACAGTTTTGTTTGGCTATAGCTTGTGTACATTTTTACTGATTTCAATTATATTTTGACACAAAGTAGCGCTAACCTTAGACTTTTATTTGGCCAATTTTCACAATATATGGAAATGCTATTCATGAACTATGCACTTCAATATGAAAATCACTATTTTCATTGATGCACTCAAGATGTTCATGATACTCCAACAACGTTTTTTGCCTCATTTCAAAAGTGATTTTGCCAAAAGCCTGAATGCAGTTGACAATCTTCTGAGTGTCTTGTTACTTGCTGTTTTCTGTCTGCATTTTGCACCCTTCCAGTTTCCTATCAAGCATTGTGTCAGTTGATAATGCTCATACAAGATGGTGGATCTTTACCAAATTCTGCACAAAACTTTTGCTGAACAATCACAGGACTTCTTGTCCACTTGTACCAAGCAGTAACTTTTGCCTATTCATACACTGAAAATGACATCTAAAAACGACAAAATTATAACTTTCAAACAGACAATAAACAGAACTAATGACATGCACAAATGCACAATATGTGAAGCAAAATTAAAAAATCAAATTTCTCAAAACATTCCAATTTAAATGGGGTCAGATGGGTTGTATTTATTGTCCACAATTAATATCTAGGAGTTTCTTAGTGAAATGAAAAACAGGAACTTCTACTGATGTTCAGTACAATGGATCAAAGTTTCAAGGTCATAGGATGAAGCAATGCAGGGAAAACTTGCTGAGCTAGCTGAATGCCCCAAGGGATAGGGAACAGGGCAACTACACTGATCAAACCAATTTCCTCTTCTGCTTCCCTCCATCCACTCTGCTTTCCTTTAATTGTTTATCTTTCGCCTTTAAAGCCATGCCAGGACAATGTCCACAATGGCAGTTTTGCCAACTTGACCAGTTTGATCAAGGTCAGTAAGCTGGCATGATGGAGGCAGGCCTTAGCATGCATCAGGTTGTGCATTAGCTAAGTGTAAGTATGACTCCCTTGCAGCATTGGTGGACTTGCATCAGAATGGGGCCAACCAAGAACAGCAATGAGGATGAGGCCACCATTGCATCATGATGTCCAGGGATGAGCGGTATTTGCAGATGTAGATTCTCCAAGACTGATTGTTCATTGACCTGTGTTCATGGAAGGTACTGGTGGCCAGGAACAGGCCAAAGAACTTCTTGGAGGACTGTGTACCAACATGCAATCCAACTGGGACTACAGTCTAGACAACCTGTCATCAGGATCCCCATCAGGGCAGTCCATCATCAGACCATGCTAAATTGGTGTCATGACTGGCAGAACTGGGGGATTCAAGAGTGGGGGAATATTGTCTTCTCAGATGAATCCTGACTTTGCTTGGACTTCAATGGTAAGGCAAATTCGAGCATGTTGCCTGCTGACTGAGAGGTTTCAGGAGGTGTGTATTTAGGAGCATGGCCATTATGGTGGAGGCAGCATCATGGTATGGGGAGCCATTAGCCTCAATGGTCAATCTCAACTTGTGGTCATCCATGGAAATCTTACTCACCAGCATGGATGAAATCATGCCACAAGTACTGGTGCCCTTCCTTCAGAATGATCCAGCCAGCACTTTTCAGCAGGATAATGCCAGATCGCACACATGCCGAGTGACCACCAACTTCCTGCAGGGTGCCATGCCCACCCTACCTTGGCTGACTCACTCCCCGGATCTTTCTCCAATTGAGCATTTGTGAGACAACCTAGATCATTGCATCCATGATCATTGTCTGGATCCTCCTCCTTCACTGCATGAACTGGAACTGAGAATGGTGGCCCACTGGCAGCAGATCCCAAAACAGGTAGTGCACTACCTTTTTGAGAGCATGCTACACCAATTGCAGGCATGCATTGCTGTGCATGGAGGACATACTGAGTGGGGAGTGACACTCAAGTACTGAATTTTGTCAGTAGCACTTTGTTAACCATTCATACTGCCAGGACAATAGTGATACAAGTAGCCCTGGCATTTTCTCAAACATTCACTGAAAGGCATTCCAATTCTTAGAAATATCATGACACACTACATTCTGCCAGGGTAGCTTTTGAGTCAATAAGTAGAACCCCTTGGCCCATTCCTTTAGGGCACTAGCCAAGTTTTTTTTGATATACCCATATGTGAATAATCACAGATTCTGAATCACTTTGAAGAAGAATCCCATGGTCTTGGTATGGCTTCTTAATTAGCCCTCCAAGTGGCAAACGTCGCAGTTGCGATGTTAATACAGGCTAGATCAACATCCACTATGGAATTTTTCAAGGCGACTCCCTTTTGCCATTACTCTTCTGTCTAGCCATCAACCCACTGAGTTCACTGCTCAACTTCAGTGTAGTTGGGTACCATGTCAGAAAGGGGAAGACAGAGAACCACTTTGTTAACCATCTTCTATATATGGATGACCTCAAACTGTTTGCCTCAGGAGACCAACAGCTGGAGGGACTCCTGAATACCGTGGACATGTTCTCCATGGACATTAGAATGAGGTTTGGTCTTGTCAAATTTTAGTTTGCTTCGTTCTTGCTGTTCAGCTGCTTACAAATGGAGACGACCCCCTCCTAAGCCTTGTGATCACTCACAAGCGTGTGGGTAGGGGACCCTTTCTCTTCCAAATTGCGGAACGAGCAGCAAGATCTCTTGGGCTAGTGCTGGATACTGGACCACAACCAATGTTTGAGGACATTAACATTCAATCCAACAATGAACGTGATGCCACCATTCGTATGGTCAAACGCCGCGTGCGTTTGGCAGAAATTCAACTGCTTCTGGAAGGCCATCTCCAGAAGACTTTACATGGCAAGTACTTCGAGGCAATCCATACCCATGGGCTGTCTCTGGAGTTGTCCCATGCATGGCCAAGGTCATCTGGCCTACGCTCAGAGACAGAGGGGTTTTTGGCAGCAGCTCAGGATGGCGTTTTACCCACACTATGGTACCAAAAGTCCATCCTGAAGGAGGACTTGAGATCAATCACATGTTGGGCCTGTGGGACCCATCCGGATACCATGTTCCACCTGCTGTCAGCCTATCCCACCTACGCCCCCAAAGGCTACATCCACTGCCATAGCGCTGCTCTACGAGTATTATATTACCACCTTTGCGCATGCATACGGGATTGATAGAACACCTGCTCTCCTGTATGCAGAAAAAGAAATTGCCACTGTCGTGGAGAATACCACCTATCACATCTGGTGGAATTACAGCTTTCCCACGACGAGACAGCTGACGGCCACGAAGCCGGACATCGCCCTGCTGGACAAAGAGGCAAGACAACTCTACGTGATCGAGTTCTCCTGTCCAGGTGAAAAAAACATCAACGCAAAGGAAGAAGAGAAAATGGCTAAATATTTAGACCTCATGTTCAAGCTTCAACAATCATATCCTGGTCACAAAGTTTTTCCTGAAGTTGTAAGTAGTAAGTTGTAAGTTTCCGTAAGTTGCAGTTGTAATTATCGGGTACCTCAGAGGGATGAAGGACACAGTCCTGTCAGCACTGGAAAGAATTCCAGCCTGTCGGCCGGTAGCTCCATCTCTGGCCAAAAGCATGCAAAAATAAGTGATCCTGGGCTCTCTTCGTGTTCTTCGGGCCCACTTGGCAGACTAAAGGACCCTGGCTTACCACCCTCATTGGGGGCATCAGGGTTTCTTTCACACCTGTCTGCCTGCCCCCAGGAATGATGGGGTGGACTGAAAGCCCTCACGGGAAGGTCCATTGCTGATGTAGGGAAACAGTCTGGCAGGATATGTATTTTAAATGCGTGTAACACATAATAACAATAATAAAAGAAGAAGTGATCCTCTGGCTGCTGAGAACAGAAAGAGGGGTGGGCAAAATGTAACAACAATACATTATTTTGTGAAAAAGGAGACGGTGAATTACACTGGAGTAGGGATGTAAAAACATTTTATCAAAATTGGACATCAGCTGATGTTAGGAATATCAGTGTGCATTCAATTATCAAGAATCAGTATACAGACACTACACAATATTCCCAAGTGTTTACTAGCACCAAGCAAGTTGCTAAGATGCTCTGAAGAGAAAATGAGGATAGGAAGAGGAGATGCAAAGCTGACATATGGGGTTAAATTAGGCCTAATGTGATCCTTGGTCAAAAACTTGTTGGGCAAATATATTTTGGGCATAACTCAATACAATCAGTCCAGTATCAGCTTCAACATGTGCCCACATTCTTTCCTATTCATCTAGGCCTATGAGGAAGTGTGGGGGAATTTGGCGGTATGTTAATCAGGCACCACAAGGATTCTGTGATGAGTTCACACACTTTTAATGCAAACCATTGTTTTTGGGGCCTATTGACACCAGCTGAACTAAAAATTATTCTGGTATTTATATACAATTAAGTGGCATTTGGTAAATGTCCCCAGGATTGACAGCACTGCAAATGGCCTATATCCTTTTTCAAAGGCCCCATAAAAAAACCCCACAAAAATGAAAAAAATACTCACTGATTATGCAGAGATGCCAACAAAAGAGCACCAGTGTCCCCTTCAAAGAGATATTCTGTTTTGTAAGGACAGCAAGTTTCGAGGAGCGTCTGTATGCAGCCATTGCCCATGCCATGCTGATCACAGATGTCACCATTGATCCCAGCTGTACAGTAACTGCAGACAAAAGGAGATGAGCTTCGGTATGAAAATAAAGACTTTTCACCTATATATATCTAATGAACTTGACTACATGCTTTCAAGATTTATGAAGAACATGCAGGATGCCAATAATAGATGTACCTCCCTGGCCAGCAGAACTGTAATGGATCACAGGATTATAATCAGCCATTTTTAATTCAATTGTGCATCTTTTCCAATTTTTAAATACTACTCATTTTGAAACAGGGCCTATTTCAAGCTGATGTTTCAGAAGATGCAACCTGTTGACCAATTCTGAGCTTACACATATCAAGAAGTTTGCAATGCAGTTGCTTCATTCACATCAAGAAGTGCTCAGACAACTCAGTTGCAGTGAAACATTTGTAAGTGTGAAACATCACAACAATCTTTGTTGTGATGATCTTTACTTAGCTGAAAGGGCCATTGAGAACATAGGAAAAGGAAAGAAGCTCTCTCAAGAGTCAAAGAACATCACTGAAGGGAGTGGAAGAGTCTCAGTTGTAGCAGAAATCTTGTTGGAAAGAGGGAACGATGTTCCATGAGGAACAGTGTGTCATTATCATCTATACAAGGGCTTCAAACCATGGCATGAAGTTCCAGTGTCAAGGAAGACCAATCAGAACAGGAAAACTGCCTGTGGTTCTCCAATTTCTTGGATTGGACTGAGGATGATTTCATCCATCTTGTTCCATCATACAAATTTTTCCTCTACCTTGTCTGCAGGCCTAATTTTCTAAATGACCCCATCTTGGCCAAAAATTCTGAAGACAGAAGATGTGAAGCCAGCTCAAATGCAGAGTCTTTCTGTGTTTCCCTACACTGCACCTCATGTAATCCATTGAGCCTGAGGGGCAGAGTTGGGACAGATCATATTTCCAAGAAAAGATATAGCAAGAGCATGTCATTCTGTTTTTTTTTTCTTGAGATGAAGACAATGTTCTGGATCCACAAGAAGTCACATTTCTTTATGACACATTTCAGGGCACTTGTAACTAGGGATGGGGCAGTCAATTGACCACCTTTTATTTGACCATTATTGACCACTAATTTTTTTAATTCAGTGAATTAAGATATTTTTATAGAGCTCATAACTGTGGTCATTTACCCCCCAGCACTAAAACCAAAGAGCCAATTCAATTCTTAAGATTTGTTCATGCAGCCAGCCAAACACCTAGACTGTGGCACTTGTTGCATATGAAAACATTTTAGCAAATCAAACTACCATGACCTTTCACCTGAGTGATGCAGAGTTGTGTGCAGGCATAGCTTGCTGTTCAAAGTTTTATAGCCTCAAGGACTTTCAAAGTTAAGGTTCAAGATCTAAGTAACAACTTTAGAACTTTAGTTTCGTGCAAGGTCAATCATGGTCCTGGCTAATAGTATGCATCAGAGCATCAAATTATTCTCAAAGTCTGTGATCATGGTACAAGTACTTGGGTCATGGCTATGCCTATGCCTAAAAAAATTAATCTAGCTATGAAACATAATTCATTACTGTTTACCCTATAGATTGCATGAGTTGGAACATTAAAATTATCGTAGCAATGAGATGTTGACTGGTCAACATGGTCATTTATGATCATATAGTCATAAGGCCTAACCTCTTGGGCTTATAACCATTATTTTCTGCAAATGGTCTAAAACAGGGATGTCAAACTCAAATCGGTTGGCAGGCCTCATTCCTAAGATTGCAGGTATCTGTGGGCCACACCCATAATTTTTCACTGAAATTTGTGCCAACAGTCAATCCTAGTGGAAATTTCTAGAACAGACAGTGGGCCTGATAAACCACATCTGCAGGCCATATGTTTGACACTCCTGGTATAAAATGACCATGTTGACCATATTAACTAGTCAATTGACATGTTTTTAATTGACTGGTCAATAACCCATCCCTACTTGTAACACAAGCCCTTCTGTGAATTATCAATAGTGATTTCTTCAGTAAAATTGAGTGGCCTGGAAATCTGCAAGATCTGAATGAAAGTGGGCATTTGGGAGCCATTATTAAGAAAAAAGTTAAAGAAAGAATGATGGGTGAACCAGAGGAAAACTGATTTGTCATGAAAGTGCCTTTGGGTCATATGAACACAGTGCTGAAAGAGCTCCACAAGCACTGCACTCCCTTCATGAATCTGGTGAAGTCTCTTTCTCTTCAGGCCATTATATGAGCATGTGATGGAAATACCATAAACTGAAACTTGTGAAAAGTAGCAGAATAAACTAAGGTACCAAAAGGCATTACCTTTCAGAGTTTAGCTTAACAGATGGGTGCATATTTCTTTGGCCCCTGCACTCCCCAGGAAAATGTGAGGATCATTTTATGCCTGTGGATGTAGCTGAATGAACTGAGAGTTCCACATTAAATTTCATGGTACTTGAGGTCCATAAGAAACAGTCAAATCTGACATTTTTCCTCTACACGGTTGTGGCGAAAGTTTTTGTGCATACAGTCTGCGAAGCACGATTTTTTCGTCACACATTCTGAACGAAAGCACATTTTATGCTGGGTATAAATATAAGTTGCTTTTTTTTTACAATCGCTAAATTTATAAAAACTACAGCATTCATAATGTGACAAAAAAATCATGCTTCACAGACTGTTGCATTGTTTGTATGCATAAAAACTTTCATTACAACCTAGTAGTATAATAGATCTCATGAAATGACCCCTCAAAGTGTGTGGGTCAGGAGCCAAGTGTCCAATAACCATGGGGGTGGAGAGTTGGTTTCTATGTTCATTCAGTTTTAAAAGTATAATGCATAGTCTTCTTTTAATTACAGTGAAACATTGAAAACTTTTGGAGATGTAAAAAATTTTTGTCTTCATGCCATTTTTGGCTCTTTCTGCTTCAAAACTAAATCATAGCCAATAGATTCTTAAGGCATCGCCAACAGATTCTTAAGGCATCATGGGGTCTATAAATGCCCCAAGATTGAACCTGTTACCTTGGAAAAGGGACAAGGGTTACAAGGGAAATTGGAAGCTTTAAATTTTCTCAATTTTGGCCTCCAGCATTTTCCTTGAAATTATTGCTTCAAGTAACCTATCACTGGACTCAAACACAAGACTCATATTTTTACTTTGACATGAGGTTCTGAGAATTCCCATGTTCACATGCTGTAGAGACTAGATATGCATAAATTTAATAAAACCAATAAAAATGAGAAAAACTTCATCTATGACTATGGCCACTATTAACTTGAGCTCACCTAGATTGGGATTATCACTTCCATAGGTATTTCCATGCCGGAAGAATATATAAAATTGAAGGATCATCTGAGGACCTGCCTCAACAAATGCTTCAACAAGTCGGAGGAGTGAGGCATCAGCATTTTGCTTTACCATATGATCATGAACCTCCTTTTCCTCCTCGGTTGCTTCTTCTATGGACACAGAATTCCTGAGGCCTCGTTTCCGTAGAAGGGCTTGAAAATGAAGCCCACATTCCAGGGCATGGGCATGCCTATAAGGCAATTAAACACATTAGATTCCCTGAACATATGAAAAATTAGAATCTTTTCCCTTTAATCCTCAAGTTATGACACCTACATCACAGAAAAAAAAAAATGAAAGGGAAAAATGATTAAGGTAGAATTCATATGTGCCTATGAAAAGAACACCTTATTATGATATAATTACCTCTTACATGGAGAAGGTACAAGGTGTCCAACTTAAAAGTAGTCCTGTAAGTAATTTCAGTGTTTTCTGTCAGAGTCTGTCTTTGCCATAGTTGCAAGTTTGTTGTGGTACCAAAGGGCTTAATGATGCATGCAGTCATTACTCATGGTGGCAGTTTGTGTAGTAGGTTTCAGTTGAGCTGCAAATGCTTCCAGAACAGTACACACTTGCGTTTCTCAATGAGCAGTATGCAGTCAGTGTTGTGGCAATGCAGTTTTCTTTATGGCAGTGGATTTTTATTGTTGAAAGTTACATTGAAAGCATATCTTAGATCTGTTGTGACAAGTTTGTGGTGAAGAATCCTAATGTGGAATTAAACTGACTGATTTTGTGGGCAGTCATTCAACAACCTTTCAAAATTCTGTGAAATTTTGTCCTTAAAACTCCAGACTGTTGACAATCATCGTATTGCCTTATGGGGGCTGTCCTCAATTTGTCATCTGATGTCACATACAGTTCTCTCATTCTGCATAGTTCAAACCCAAGTTGATGTCATATCCCCTACAGAATCTGTTTCCCACTGCAAACTTCTGCATGGCACTATTTGCTAGCACTTTCACATCAGGATACATCTCTGCAAACTTTTCATAACAAATTTGCAATACTTGCTTTCAAAATAACTTTCAACAATAAAAATCCATTGTCATAATGAAAACTGCATTGCTCACAACACAAACATATACAGTTCTGGAAGCTTTTGCAGCTCAATGACCTCTACCACCCAATCTGCCACCACACAAGTCTTGACCACATGGATCTTTAAGCCTCTCCTGCAGTACCACAATAAACTACCACAACTATGGTGAAAGACAGCCTCCAACAGGAAAAAATATAAAAATATTTGCCAGGCTTCTACCAAGTGGGACACCCTGTATAAGTTACCATTATTAAAATAGGGTCACAAAAATCATGGCCTTAAGTTTTCAGGCACCAATCAGGTGAGTTGAACCCCTTCCTACTCATGCTGATCAACATTTCTGCAGCTGCATTCTAGTTTTGCCTCCCTCTGCCCAATTCTATTTCTAAATTCACTTGGTCATTAAAAAGTTTTATCACCCTATGATCACTATCATAGCAACAAAGAGGAACAACTTTTCAATTCTCAGATACAGAAAATTAAGCAAAAAAGATATTTAACCCTTTCCCAGGCGTAAATGAGACATTACATTGATGTTCTCTAAATGCTTAGATGTCCCTGCTAGGGAAAAGGTTAATGCCATTCTTCAGTACTTAGGCTTGGCTAAAATTTGGCTTTTTTTTGTTAAAGCTTCCAAGAGGTTCATCATATGCTGATCAATGAATAGGCAATTAAGGTTTCTAATTCAAGTCTGTGATCATAATAATAGGTCTTTGGTTCATTGTCCATTAGGACAAAGGGATTCCTGAGAAGAGGATGCTGTGCAAGTGCTTATGACCATGGTCAGATTATGGAGCTTCTCTCTTCTCCATGCTGCTCTTCCACACTACCCCTGTCTCCATCTTATTGATAATGAATTAGGAATGTTGGTAGCAGTAGGGGAATCCTATCCCAAATGAAAATAATAAAGGCTACATGCACTGGATCTTTTGATGGCAAAACTCCTGGAACAGGACTGGCTCTCATTTCTATGCAACATAAATAAGTAGAGATTGACTGATATTGGATTTTAATGATTTTACTGATTCTGATATTGGCCGATATTCCAACAAAAACAAAACCATATTGAAAATTCAACAGGATAGCTTGATTTTATTTCAAATTCTCTTTGAACTCACAATGAAGCAAGGCTGCAGAGCATAGACCAAACCTAAGCCTTAGAGCGAAGGTCTGCCTCTACATGTCAGACCAGGAACATAAGCAGACCTGTGATTCTTCACCTCTCAGATGATATCATATTGGCTATATCACGTCTAAGGGTTTCCATATGAGAGCATAAAAGATAAAAGAGCATAAAAGTCATATTTTCTTTTACTATAAAGATCTAACTCTTCTGATATCTGCAAAAATCAGAAGGTTTGATAGAGCCAATGTGAATACTCACAGATATTTCTACAGGGTGCAAGAGTAGAATTGGTGTGGAAAATACATTAAGGAAAAACATCGCTAAAATTTCTAATTTTAAACATTTATTGAAAATTCCAGAAACAAGAGCAAGGTAGTGCTTTATAGATGGAACTTATTCAATAAAGCCACCTTCAGCATCAATCACAGCCTCCAGACGACCTCGGAAGCGAGAACCGGCGCGTTTTACAATCTCAGGAGACAAATCTTGGAATGCCTGGCAGATTCTCTCCCTCAGCTCAGCTTTATTGTTACAGGCAGTCATATTAGTGATCCTTTCAACTGCGCCCCACACAGAATAGTCAAGAGGATTGCAGTCAGGTGAGTTTGGAGGCCATATATCAGGGGCAACATGGTCAAAAAAGTTATCCTCGAGCCACTTCTGAGTTTTCCTGGCCATGTGTGCTGGTGCAGAATCTTGCTGGAACATGTATGGTCTTCCTGCAGCAACTTCTTCAATCCAAGGCTTTACTACGGTTGCCAGAACGTCTTGGTACACATTCTGGTTCACTCTCAGGCCTTCTTCAAAGATGTGTGGGGGCATAACATGCCCGTCACTGCTGACGACACCAAAGACCATGATGTGAACAGGAAACTTTGTTTTCATAACTCTGGGCACATCTTTAGGACTCATAGCCAACCATCTGTTGTTGTGCTTGTTGTGTGCCTGATCCTGGCAAAAGTTTTTCTCGTCAGAAAAAAACCACAACATGTTTGGCTCCTGGGGATGCTTGATTTTGTGCAAAAGTTTCTTGCTCTTCACGAGACGTTTTGTTTTTGTCGTTTCAGTAAGAAGCTGTCCACTTCGCATCTTGTAGGACTTATAGTGAAGATCTTCATTCAAACAAAGTCTCACAGTGCTCTCAGAATGGCCCAGACGTCGAGAAATCTCACGGAATGAGATGGAGGGGTCGTTGTCAATGAGTTGCTGCACATTTGAAATGAAATCGCCACTCCTCACCCTCCGTTCAGCACGATCTTGTGTATTTCTGGCAGCCACGGCCTCCACATCAAAGTCTGAATCCACCAACTGCTTCCTAATTCTCTGGATTGTCCTCAATGGCAACTTCAACTTGTCTACGATGTCGTTGTTGGTCATCCCGGCNGTAGACTATCACCTTCCTTCTCCACTCCTCAGGCCACTCATAATCATCCAATCTGTTTGGGGTCTGCATTCTTTGAAGTCTTACTGATAACTGAGAATCTTGAATCAATAACATGGGTCAAGAAAATCTTGTATTATCTGGATTTTACCTGTTTAAACTCGTGCCAATTCTACTCGCGCACCCTGTATATCGGCCTATTTATATCGGCAACCAATACATCCACCTATCTCTATAAATAAGAAATCATCTTGGTCACAATTTACCTGAGAACAGGAGCCAGCTGACAAAGGAGAATCAGGATTCTGAGCTGCCACTGAGCTGGAGACATTCTGTCATGAGATCCATCACTGATATACCTTGAATAGAGATACACAACACCAAATAAATAGGTCCACTCCACTAACTCAGCAGATACAAAACGTAAGGCTAGTTCTAGGCTATATGCTCACATGATTGCAAATATTAAATGAGGGGTAAGTTAAGCCTGAAGCAAGTAAACTTAAGAGATAACACATAGTGTCACTGCAGAAGTTCATCATAATTTAAACATTTAATGTGTATGTTTTTTTCATTACATTCCTTACCATTTTCAATGTTAATTTCTTGATATGATGGAAGAATCACAATGGAAATGTAAAAAATTCTGAATAAAGAAATAAATGCAGGCTTGGAAATATATAATAGGGAGGTAAGTATCATTCCGTAATAAGGACATATCACATACTGTATTATATCTGATCCAATAGTACAGATATGATACTGATACAACAAGAAACTAGAAACAAGAGACACTAAGACCCATAACTGTACCCTAACTCTGGAACACTAGGTAACCTATCCTCCCATCTAAATCTTCCACCCTCCCTATAATGTCAGCTAGCATGGGTAATTCTTAACCTTGGGACACTCAATTTGGCCTGAGTAGCTACCCAGGGATATGTAGCCCAGATTCAGCCTTCAATGCTGCAGTTCTTCAAAGTCCCATGTCCTGAGATAGGAGTGCTTTGTGCTAAGGTGTCACCCTTCCCTAGCACATGAAGGCTTGCACTCAGAAATAAACACCCTGACTTGGTTGGGCACAAACTTAGGTCAGCTGCCACAGGAGCTAAGCTCATTATCAAATGGAAGTGTTATTTCAAGATAGGTCTAAGCCTAGGCTAGGCCTATACAATGATAAATCTACTGAAATATACCATAAACATATTATAACTTTACATAATACAATAGTTCTCTGTCTTCAATTCATATTTTATAACAGTTCTACAGGGTGGCTCAAAAAAAAAAACCAAACTATTGACTTCAACATGCTGTAAATCAGACTGCAATGTCTTGATTGGAGTAAGCTTTTAGGCACACATGAAGCAACTCTTTTGCAGCAGATAAACAATTATATGTTATGATATCATGAGTTTTTTGCTTCATCAAGATGAAAATGGCCACCTCCACCCTGAAAATTGCTGCAACTGTCCCCGGCTGCCATTGAGTTGGAGCAGCAACAGCTGTTGTTAACACATTTTATTACCTGTATCAGTGTTTGGAGATATTATTCTTCCTTTTCCCACATTTTTTCTTACTAAAAAAAGTAATCCCTAGCTACTCACATGAAGACCTGGCAGTCAAGACCTTGGTGATCGTACGGTGATGGTGATGGCGATCAAGACCTTGTGAGTTCAAAAGGGATGGGAAGCCAGAAGAATGATGAATGAATTGAAAAATTTTCTGATTGAACAAACTGGCTAAGAAATGGTCTTGAAGGCATCATTCAGAAGGTTGATGAAAGACGGGAACAGCAACTCAAAAACAAGGTAGTGGAAGGTTCATAATCCAAACAATGAAGAGAATGATGAAAAAGTCTAAATGTGCATGTTGTGTCAGGAGGATCAACCTGGAAGTTTGTTTTACCCAGAAAATACATTCATCATTCTTCAGCAAGGTCTTCATCACCACCAAGTCTTCATGCAAGTAGCTAGGCATTACTTTGTTTTAGAGAGAAAAAAAGTGGGAAAAGGAATATTCATTTCTTCAAACATTGATGCAGAAAATAAAATCTGTTCAAGCTAACAACAGCTGTCACTGCTCTAATTCAAACAGCAGCTGGGAACTGTTGCAGCAGTTTTCTGGATGGAGACAACCATTTTCATCCAGTTGAAACAAAGAACTCATGATATCATAACATATAATCTTATATCTGCTGCAACAGAGTTACTTCATGGGTGCCTAAAAGATTACTCAAATCAAGGCATTGCAGTCTGAATTTGCACCATGATGAAGTCAATAGCTTGGTTTTTTTTGAGCCACCCTGTATTTCAATGATAAAAATGTGTGAACATTTTTAAAGATATATAAATGGTTTCTCATAGCAGTAATTAAAAATTTCAGCCATAGAAAATATAAAAAGCATGACACGTGCTTAAAAACTTTTGATGGATTATATTCAGGGTCTCCCCTTACAAGAGTAATAATGGATGTATGGAATGGAAAACTATTCATTTCACAGATGCCTGTCACTGGGTGACAGGCAGGATTTTGCCAAAGGGGGAGTTAGAATTTGCTTTACTTTCCCTATGGGGAGGTAGAGTGGCAGATGCATAAAGACCAAAGGTGGGCAAGAGGGCAAGAACCAAACATGGTGGGACTGAAGCCCCATAGCATCACCCTCCCCACACCACTGGAGGCACCTGAATGAGGTTAGTGCTTAAAAGTTAAAGTTTTTTAATTAGTGCAGGAATGAGTATCCCTCATCAAAGATAGCATCCTTCACAAACATAAGGGCCTAGAAGTAGTTTCTTCATCACAACATTATGAGATGAAGAAAGTCACTATGGCTCATCAAGTTAAATTCAAGGTTGAAGTAGACTTTGAGTCACTTTACTTGACCCTTTCAGGTACATACATCTAAATGTTATCATTGTTCAACTTCCTCAAAAAACCTATACATCAGAACATTAAATACATGATCATAGCAATAACTTGCCTGAGATGGCACCACTATCCAATTGGTCAATATGTGGTTTTGTCTTGAGACCACCATGTTAAATGAGAAAAAATTTAAATGGGGGGGTTTCAATAACACCAATTTGCTAGAAAGGGTTAAAAGTATGAAATTCACAGGTGACATGGTGAAAAGACTCATAACAATAAAGGTTCGATTTTTTTGCTTAAGCAATATGGTATTGAAATACAAACATATTCATTAGTTAAATCCATACTAACCTCACACAACAAACTAATAAAGCGTCAGCATTTTCAACTCTATTTGTAGAGCTTCACAGCTTGAATAGTTTCTGATTATGTTCTGAATAGTTTTGGGGCCTTCTATATTCTACTTTCACTGGAAATAGTTTTTTTTTAAGTTGGAAATTATATTTTCCCATTAATTGCCTTTGGCTTACAAAGTAAGATTCAGTCTTGCAAATGCTAATAGGAGGCATATATTTTAGAGTGTATTCTATACAGCATGCACCAAACTTGCAATGCTATAGAGCTTGCCAGGTCAACTTACAATAACAATATCCTAACGCCTGGCCTAGCTTAACGTGAAGGTTAGCATAAGCCGGGCAAAGAAGTCAAACTGAATTTCCTGCCTAGAAGACTCAACTCACCAGACCGAGCTGAGAAAAGTGATGAGAAGTGAAGTGAAGATGACAACCCCGATCGTCATTCCGAAGAAGTTGTACTTCTCCAGAGCGTAAAACCTCTGAGCGAGCCATATGTCACTGCCTATATCGAGAAGGTACGAGCTCATGGATAAAACGATAAGAAATGCATCGTAGGTCGCAAATGTGAGGTTCGTTGGCAGGCCATAGGCCTCGTCTCTGCTGGCTTGAGTCTCCGCGGGTACATCGAAGACTACGGACTTCTGGGTGTTCTTCTCGCTCCCCTCCTCCGCGGAATCCGAGGAGACCTTCATGCCAAAGACGGCATCCCACGTGACCGACCGTGAGCAGCAGCGAACCGCCCTGTAAGATTCGCAGGGTTGTCGGATGTCCGCTTCATTACATCCGGAGAAATCGCTTGCCATTTTTTTGCGATGAGATTCTGGCGAGCGTGTTTGAGAGTCATTACCTCTGGCGTCTTATTTTCACTGTTTAATAATTCAGACCCTTTAATCTGGCAATCCAGGAGGCTAATCTGGCTGCATTCAAATGAATATTGACTCCGTCACCAATGACACGTTTATACACTAGAAGTTTCCTTTTAGAAATGTGGAAAGTAAAGGAATACGCTTGTCAAATGCATAACAGTCGAAGAAAAGATGCGGATCCAATCCGTAACTTTTTGCGACGAAATATTATTTCTTCCTCCATTTTCAAAATATGAGTTTTGTCCAAGAATTTCCGACTTTTGTACCACTGTGCACCGTTGTGGTGGCATTGTATCTAACATTAAGTCAGTATTTCAATGTTGCTTATCGTAATACTTAAGTATTACGTTATATATGTTACGTTACGTTATATACGTCACGTTATGTCGCTTATCGTAAGTTGAAGTAGTTAAGTGCTAATTCAGAGGCGTGTTGGAGAAGAGGTGTAGGTCCGCTAATTCGATAGATATAGGAGTTAGAATAATAAGTAGGAAGTCGAAAGGCATATCTGATTGCAGCTCGTTCGATTCTTTCGAGCGGGCTGAGGACAGTTAGCCCAGGCAGCAAAGGCGTGTGTTAGTACAGGGCGAAGGTAGGTGCAATAGAGTTTTAGGATCAGATGGGGTTCGCACTAGGGCTGTCACGATAGGTCGATGCGTCGATACCACTATCGATAGTTGGAGATGTCGATATTTTTTTCGACCATCGCGATGCATCGGCAAAATATTTTAAAGGGGAAATGTCCCATTGGATTGAGGCAAGTACTGTGCAGTACAGTCCGTCCGGGCGGGGAAAGGAAGAAGCGGCGTGACCCGCATGGGCTTGGAATTTCTTATCACAATCAAATTCTGGAAATGCTGGGACAAAACTCATATTTTGAAAATGGAGGAAGAAATAATATTTCGTCGCAAAAAGTTACGGATTGGATCCGCATCTTTTCTTCGACTGTTAAATATTTTGAAACCATTAACCTCTTCAGACCCGACAGCAAAGTTGCATGTCAATTTTGAAATCCTTCGGCTCCGTCTCCGATGGGCAAAGCAAGGAAGCCAATATTTTTTATCGTCAGTTTCAGTCTTCGGCTCGATCTCATCAGGTGTATGTTGCGGAAGTGGACTGTTCTTATACTCCCTTGATTTCGAAACGTAGATTGGTTAATCCCCTCTCTATATTCCTGTCTATCAATTCAGTATGCAGGCTTAACTTTCTTAATTTTTAACTTGCCTTGGGCGTTTTATCTCTACTTAAGGTGAACCTAAAGTGAATTTTTTTACATGGACGTTGCTTATTCTAGGCCTGTACCGATGTTTCGGCAACCGCCGGTATGGCACCATCAGCAGGTTTCCTATCTGCCGGTGCCGATGTCCAAAGACAGGGTAGAACGAAGAAAATTAGGGCTGTCCTGATGCATCCATCGATGAATGGATACCCTACCGGACACCTCCCACCTCCAAGAGACCTCCCCCGGACCGGGACAAGGGGGTGGAGGCGAGACTAGATGGTGGACTAGACACAGAGTGGACGTGATCGTGTGACATTGTATAACGGTGTGTATTACATGTTTGGATTGTATAGGGACCTGTAAATTATTCCCGTCGCCCTCGACTTATCAACTTCCCTCCTGCCTGGTGCCTGTAGACTGTCCGAGTGAGTTGTATACATTCAATATATCCATTGTTATTGTTGCTGAACACCCTAGTCCTTCCGAATCTCACCGGTACTTATCTAATTAGAGTCAGTCCGTATATAATAGCGCCCTCTTACGTACACGGAGAACACGCGATCCCATTCGGCGGCCTCGCCTACAGCAGTTAAGTTTCCTAGTAGCTTTGGCGCGGATTACATCTACATGATTATTCCATTTAAAATTGCCGGAGAAACGTATTCCAAAAAAACGGGTCGAGCGAGACTGAGGGATGATATTTCTGTTCATGCGAATGTTGACACTGTAGGGTTTATTATCTCGAGCAAAGAGAAGGAGGGAGGATTTGGAGGGGTTCATGGCGATGCGCCAAACGCGACAATAGTTAGAGAAGAGACTGCAGCCTGGGCCCTTCTCTCGAGTACTGCGACCTCTCTGCCAGAGAGCCAGAGGGCGGTGTCGTCTGCATACTGGCTTACGTGGATGTCGAGTTTACGAGGTATAGATCGTTAGCTCCAGCAGGTCATAGCTTCCAGCAGGGTGGCGGCAAGGACTGAGGCTTTGCTGTCGTCACGGCAGTGGGTCTTACCTTGATATTTAATGGGTTTACTTTGATTGTTTCGAGGATTCCGGATTCTTTTAAAGAGTTTCCAAATGTTAGTTGGATCCTCTTCGGTGTTAATCTGTTCACCAAATTTACACTAATATGACTCCTTTTCGTTTATTAAGGAGAGCTTTAATTTCGTGGTTAAGCAAGTAATCGAACATGCAAGGGGTTCTGGTAGAAAATGAGCTTGTTTATCGCCTGGGCTCCATGATTCTGTCCCGAATATGGGGGTAATAAATAATAAAATTTCTGATCCTATTGGTCGCTATAATGAGGCTAGGAAAAACATACGGCGATGTACTAAACAATCCTGTGAGGGATGATTTCATGGAAAGAGGGAAGTGCACTTTTGTGTATTGCGCGAAAAGCGAGACTCACACCGACATCTAGTGGGCAAGAGAAGAACTTCAATATTTCCACACACAAAAAAAAACATCTCCGTGCAACTTGGGCACATTGGATCATCGCGTCAGTCTGATAATAGATCGATGATGGAATGGCAATATTGGGAGCCAATATTTAGCCATTATTGACAATAATGGCAAGATGTTTAGACATCGTGCCCAATGTTGGTCCGGCATTGAGCCAATATCTGGTGTTACTGGGGTGGTAACACTGTACAGGTTCATAGTCGTTTCTTCAAAAAAATTGTTATTCCTTATTTGCCGATGACTCCATGACACCATCATAAATATTATTTTAAAAAAAAGCGATTTAAGAAGGTATCATGGTGTCCTAATACTGCTTTAATATTCGCACATGGTCGGTTTAAGAAGTTGCGAGGCCCGGGGCAAGTGAATTCCTGGGGCTCTCCCCCCCCCCCCCGCTACTTTGCGCAAATACAATAATTTTTTGAACTTAACGTTTTTCATTTCCTTCGGGGGCCCCCTGGAAGNTTCTTTCCGTTTTTAATTTCCTTCGGGGGGCTCCTGGAAGAGTGGGGCCCGGGGCAACTGCCTCCTTTGCCCCCCCCCCCACCCCCCCTTAATCCGGCCCTGTATTCACGCAACGTTGGACTTCGACCTTCAACGTCGATGACATTGTATTGACTCTAGGGGAACGTTCCCACAACGCTATCTTTGCTGGGGATTTATTACACAAAAGGAAGAGCGGGATGATAAATGAAGTAGACCTCAGCCGTGTCCAGGGTAATGCCTCGAGGGTCGGCGGCAGGCTCCTCTAGGTTACAGCAATCGGGATCGCATCTGATAATTTTCGCTGGTAAAATTTAAGCATGGTCACGCACATACTACATCGGGCGGCTCTCAGAGAGTTCTCTCATATACAGGGCAGGCCACTCACCGCGTGTCGTGCCGGCTGGGCTGTTACAGTACGTTGGCTAAATGTGGCTGCAAGTATTTAAAGTGTGCATGGGAAAGTCACATACGCAAGTATTCTTCGAGTCTTTGTCTCTTGTTTCAAACTGCAGCTCGGTCTAGCTTTCGGAAGAAGAACTGAGCACGTTTCTCGAGTTGAATTTCCTTTCCTTCGGGATCGCAGGAGAGACCGCAGTTCGAAACGTCGAGTGCAAACTTCCGTCGAATCCGGAGACGACAGCCTTTGATTTATCGTATGACCCACAATTCACTCTCGCCGAGAGTAATCGAGGCCGCTTTTGTCATTGGCGATTTCCAGGGTGCACCCATCGGCCGAGAAAACAGCGAAAAACGAGACTGGAAACGAACACGGGCAGCCTGGCGCGGAGGCAGCTGTAACTCTCTCGGGGCGAGGCGGGATCAGCCACTCCCGAGGATGTTTCCCCGGAGTCGCTTTTCGTTCCTGCCTTGTCTCTAACAAGCCGACTTTCACCCTCGGGTTATATACTTTTAAGCAGAAATGTGCAGACTCGAACATTTGAGCGGGGCGAAAGACCCCGTGAAGCTTGGGTAAGCCTGCCCCCTCATGAGCTTCATGTCTCATTTAGGCCTCGTGAAGGGGTATTCGCACTATTTCTGCAGTCAGGTTTCGTTAGCCTGACCTTAAAATTTTTCAATCGTTCTCCAAGAGGTGCGAGTTTTTCCTGAGAGTTCAATGGCGTAGTTTGGTGGGGGATGCCTCCCCCCCCCCGTAAAACACGCCAATGTGAGAGATCAATCAAATGGAAAGTCTTCATGCTCATCGATGGCCTCGTAGAACAACGAACTTGAGGGCTAAGTTGTTCGGTGGTACTATACTGCAATTCCTATTATTCATTATTCCGCCTTTAAATTCTGTATTTCGTCTTCATCTTGAGCACAATCGAAGGACAACAGGACCAAGACGGTTGATCGCTCTCATTCATATGACTGAGCTTCTGGAGATGCTTTTAAAGGAACACAATGGTAGTGGTGGATCTGGCCACAAGCACTCGAGTTGAAATTCATCGATCTTTCTGGCACTCGTACGCAGGAAATTAGTATGATCTCCACAAAATGTATGCCAACATCATAAGGTACAAAACTCACCCTTAAATTAGCAGCAACCTAATGTATCCTTTTCTTTAATCATTTTGAATACCCCCTCCTCTTACCACCCCACACAGGCAAGCTTTCAATGCGGGGACGAGAGGGTCAGCATCAAGCTCAATTGACTGAAGCTACAGATGTTCATCCAGATGCTACATCCAAGACTTTTGGATTAATGAATCTGAACAAGGATGCCTGGTGATGAACTTTTGTCCTTTCTTCATCCTGCGATTCATTAACCACAAGTATACCAGTAAATCCTTGGTTTCTTTTTCCTTTTTTGACCCTGGACCCTGAAAATTACTTGATCATACTTACTCTTCTCACTCCATTAATAATGCTCTTAATTACACCATCCCACCCAGGGCCACAACTCACTACTGGATGTGGATGAAGATCTACATTAAGTTAACTTGAATTGAAATGTGCAAATCAATACATGAGTACCCCATAGAGTACCATGCAATTGCAGAGGGTGAATGCTGAGCATGTGTAGCATGAGGTGAACTGGGCAGCTCATGAGAATGGGATTGTCCAGTTCACCAGTTCACACAAGTAAATAAATGTGGTTTTGAATGGCATCTGGTTCAATAACACAATAAAAAACAAGCTCAAATGTGAATAACCAGACTTTCTCACATCAACAATCACTCTGAGGTACAATTTCTTGTTGGAACTTTCATAATTCAAATACTCAAGTACATACAATCAATCAGACATTCAGTTCCTCCTCTTCTTGAGAGAGGGGCGGTCAAAAACTTGTCTCATGCCACCAGCTTGAGAGGCAGCAAAGCGGAGGTTCACAGCAGATTCCATGGCCCATGGGGAATCAAAGGCCGTGGTGTCTTGATCCACCAGGTGGGTATATTTTGTACGACCACTTCGACCAAAATTTTTCACCTAAACAAAGGAGGAAAATTAAATATATAAGAAAATGCTCTCAATTCCATGCACAAAAGTTTACAAACCAAATGGCACGAGGGATATCTGGATAACATACCTGCATGACCTTAGGTAGCACTGTCTTGTCAAAGACATCCTCCAAAGTGGCAGCAGAGAAATCCCGCTTGAAGACGTCGTCCTCCTTGTCCAAGAAGAAAGCTCCACGGTGATAGTACTTCTGGAGGAACTTGTACTTCCCCTTGACAGCCTTGTTGGTGACAAGGCGGGGGTTGTTGCGGAGCTCGGCCCGTCTCTCCTCCTCGGTGAGGTTGCGCAGTCGATCCACTTCCTGCTGCTCCCGCTCGTGGGATTCCTTCTCCTCACGGTCCCGCTTGATACGCTTCAACTCCCTCACCTTCCAAGCCTCATAGTCCGCCTCATCATTCTCATCATCTGTCATGATGTCTTCACCAGGCTGTTTTTCCTTCACTTCTTCCAATTCCTTCTTCATGTCATCCTCAATAATCTAGAAGACACCCAGAAACTTCAAATTCAGTGGTGTGTCCTTGGAACTTGTACTTCTCAATGTCATCTCTAAATGCATTATTTTTTGAGTTCATACAGTGCAAGCTGCAGGGTTGCAATAATTTATAATTTAAACTTACAAAACTCAACCTGCATGATGTCACAACCCAATACAGTTGGTCTATGAAAATTAATCAACTTCAAGAAAGGCATTTCATCACGTTTTTGTGAATGTCAAATCTTTCTCCTTCACTGGAAGATGGCTCCAATGCTGAAGCTTACATAAAGGAGAAGCACGAATCCAGCTGCAAAATCATGCAATTGCAGACAAGCAGGGATTAGAATAAAGTGCAATGGTTGATAGTTTTCACATGAAACTGAATTATATTCAACTATTTTCAAAGTGGTGATGAGTGGTTATAGAAACCTGGTGCCACAGAAAACTAAAACAATGCAGTGCATTCACGAAAAGCAGGCAATTTCAAACTCAAAATGTTTAAAAAGTCCTCATAAGTAAAATGGTGACATTTGCATTTGCATTATCATTAAAAGATGGGGAAGCTCATGGGATAAATTAATAAGAATTGCTTAGAAAGGAAAAAAAAGCCTTTTTAGTCAAATAATACCAGAAGGATGTCTATTTTGAGTTTTCCCTATTTATTGGAACAACAGTATCAAGAAACTAGTTTCCACTTCAGGCATGCATTCAAGAGTTGAAGAATCATAAGGAAATGCTTTCAATAAAATACATTAAAAATTCTGCGAGGAGTGAGAACATTAAATCTGGAGCTCAAGCAAGAAGCTGGATGGCATATGAGCTCACCTTCAGTGTCTGGCGTCTTCTCTCCTCAGCCATTCTTCTGGCTTCGATTTCTGCTTGCCTCTGCCTCTGTGCCTCCTTTTCCTTTTCCTGAATTGTCAAGCGGTCTCTCTTGCTTACAAAAACTGGTTTCAGCCGAGGACCAGCTACATCCTCATCTTCTTCCTCCTCACTCTCAGTCGTCTCCTCGTATTCTGAAGATTCTTCCTCTTCTTCATCAGACGAGCCCTCTTCCTTTCTCAGTTGTTCCTGGACAGAAGATAATACCATTAAAATATTTATTAGCAAATTGCCACTTCCTCTAAGTTTCATTGGTGACTCATAGAATACTCCTGTCATTCATGCTATCATCATGCAAAAAGATAACCACTGACTTCTAGGAAAAGGGTGAATAAGGAAGTGGAGTGGGAATGGGAATCAGTACCAGGCAACTGATTCCCATGTCATAAGCCATAAAATATTCACCTCTTCTCTTTCTCTCTGGAGCTTGGCCTTCTGCTTGAGCATGGCTCTACGCCTCTCAATTTCTTCATCACTGAGTTCTTCTTCCAATTCTTCATCTTCAGATTCACTGCCCTCGGCTCTAACCCTTCTGGGCCCTTCTAATTCCATCGGTACTTCTTCCTCTTCTGATGCCTCTTTTTCCTCATCAGTTTCCAAAACCTCAGGCTCCTGAATCTCACTGTAATAGGGAGGAATATATGCAAAACTTGATGTCACATCCACACACACCTAATGTGCTTCAATTGAGTCTGACACTCAAGCATGGGATACTTCCCATGCATGGGAGTCTGAATCAAGTGAAAAACATTATCATATATTCTGAGATTGGTTGACAGTATCTAACCGATGCCTTCGAATGATCTCTTCCTCATCGGGTGGCTCTTCTTCGAGCTTTTGCAGACGTCGGAGGCGAGGATCATCCCTTACGGCTTCTCTTAAGCTTGGACTATCAGGTGAAGGAGGAGGAGATAGAACTCCAACCAGATCTTCTTCATCTTCATCATGAGCAGCAGGGCCAGCAATGGTGCGCTTTCCCCCAAGGAATGCAATCTCCTCCTCCTCACTCTCTTCCTCCCCTGATGACTCAGGAGCATAATCTGGCCTTTTGCCTGACACATAGCGGTGAACTTTCACTTTCTGCATGGAGACTTCACCTGAAAAATGGAAAAAAAATGAACAATGTTAGAGGAATAGCCTTTACATGCTTGACAACAAATTTTAAGCACCAAAACACTTACCTTTTTCATTTACAACTGGGATTGCCCCAGCTGTAGACATGATGGCAGAAGTCTTCTTCCTGAGGTCTGTCATTGTGACAAATATCTTTGCTTAATGGAATTTAAGAAATAAATAGGCTTCTCACTGTTGTACCTGTAATGAAGAATGAAGCTTCTTGTAGTCCAGTTGACCTTAGGCCTAGGTTATCATTAGGCCAATCATTGTTAGATCTACATCTAAGTGTGCCTAGCCCAACTCATCAAGATTAAAGGCCAAGATTAAATCCCAAACCTCGTACAGTTCTGGCCAAGTTAAACTTGATACAAAGGGATAGATCTATGCTAGCCGACTAAGATGTCAAATCAAAGGACATTTCTCGTTCATATTTTATCATATTCTCCGACAGCCATTTCTGATTTCACCACTTGGAATCCACTGAGGACAGACGGCTGACTGAGTTAGTACTGACCTAAACATTCAAAGCACTGGGACGCCGTCTTGAAACAAAACCCATCAATCCACCCAACCTGGTAGCCGCCATGTGTTGCACAGTGTTGTCACATCTCAAGTTTCTCTCATCGGGTAGGCTGTCTGTGCCGTTATATTGCTCATTAGCTCTCGTGTTAGCCCAAAATAAATTAATTTCTTTTTAAATTCCTCTCTCTAACACTGATTTTTTCGAGTTTGGTTTCTGGCTCGTTTTCCCACCTTCATCCTGAATTTGTCATATTCCCAGGACTTTCCTTTGCAAAGCTTTATATCGTTTTCCCTATGACCACCCAGATAACACGTAACGTTGCCACAACGTTGGGTAAATACGGGAAACGTTTGCAGAACGTGCGACTTGGCACGGGATTAAAGGTAGGTTGCTTAAGTGGATAAGTAGTTGACAGTGAAAGCATGATCCAACTGTTGGCGGCGTTATCCATTCTAGGCAGGACCGTATATAGGGGCGGGTGAAGCGGGCGATCGCCCGAGGTGCCAGCAGGAGAAGGGGGGGGGGGGGGGGGGGGGGGGGGGGGGGGGGGGGGGGGGGGGGGGGGGGGGGGGGGGGGGGGGGGGGGGGGGGGGGGGGGGGGGGGGGCGCCGTGCAAAGAAAAATAACCCTAAAAAAGATATATAAGATATATATATATATATATATATATTTTTTTTTTTCTAAATGTGGTAAGCGTCCGCTTTGTGCAAACTAGCCCTAATCGGACCGAATGAAAATTTCAACACATTTAATATTTACAGCCCGTCCAGGCCCAGAAAGGACCAGTTGGCATGGATCCATAATTATTCCATATGAATTCCATATATTCCATATCAATGCCTCTTACCTGCGTACCGGTGAGTCCGATAACTGCTTGAAAATCGGGCAGAAGCCCCCCCTCCCCCCAACCTTCCCCTCTTACATGGGGCATGACGCCACGCTGCGACTGGGCAGTGTCACGAAAGGTCGATGCATCGATACCCCTATCGATGGTTGGAGGCATCGATAATTTTTTCGACCATCGCGATGCATCGGCAACACTCTTGAAGCGAAACGTCTCATCGGATCGAGACTACGATTCGATACAGTCCGTCCAGGCGGGGAGAGGAAGAGGCGGCGTGACCCGCAGGGCGAGCAATTTCTCATGGCGATCAAATTCTGGAAATGCTGGAAGGGAGAAAGGTCGATCCCTAATGTTCAAAATGACGCCGAAACGGGAAGCATTTCATCTTTCTGACGTAAAACTGACGGTGGCTTCTGGATTATTGCTTATTATTGGTTACTGCTGATTATTGCAAGTTTTAGCGTCTCTGGTGAATTTGCGCCCCGTGCGGGGGCACGCGTGGCACATGCCTAAGGCCGGCCCTGGCTGGGACTGACTATATGAAAGACGCAAGGAAAAAAAAAAAAAACATGGAATCGGAGACAGGAAGTGAGGAAGGAGAGGGAGGATATCGGAGGAAGACCAGAAATATATTTTTTTTCCTCCTCTGTTTTGGACTTCGACTCGATCTTTATCAGGTGCATGCTGCAAAAGTGGACTCTTCCTTTTTACTCCATTTCGAAACGTACATTGGTTTATGTCTTATCTCTATACATTGGTTCTATACATCGTACATTGGTTTATGTATTATCTCCTGTCTTTCTCTTTAGTTTGAAGGCTTGAATTCTCTTCCTTTTTTTTTTTTACTTGCCTGGGGCATTTTACTTCTTTACTCGAGCCAAAGTGAAATTTTTACACGGACGCTCGAATCTAGGGCTGTTTCGACCACCATCGCCAGGTTTCCTATCTGCCGATGTCCGAGAGAGAGAGAGAGAGAGATGCTTTTTTGCCTTGCACAATTATCACTGGACACGCAGCCTTTCTGAATACGAAGGGACCACCGCGGATCTGGGTCATTCGCTTTCCTTTACTCCCGTTGAAAAGACGGAAACTCTCGATCTCGTCCTTCCCGGGGTTGAACCGCGCGTGTGGGCTCAGTCCACCCGTCCACCAGCCACAATCTCCCCACAATCTCCCCACAATCTCCCCACAGATTCCTTTCGTGATACAAAAAATTGAGGGCTTCTGCTGCTCGTATGCGACGATGCCAGGGAGGGAATCCTCATGGCTCGTTTCAAATTTTCACTCGCGCCTGCTTCAGAAGTCTAATTCCTTCTCTATGGGTTTGCATTTTCGTAATTTTCATGAATGTCGGGAAAGTGGTACTGATAATGTATAATAATAATAATGACGTACGCATTAATTTTTAAGGGTTTTCTCGTTCATTCGTGTCTTCAGGGACAAGAGATCAAGAACTTCTGCATCGAACGTGACATCCCTAAATTTTTAGATAAATTTCCTGCTGAAAACCTTCGGGTTATTTGGCATGGAATTTGGCACTCCGAACGGCGAGGCCCTCTGCAATTTTCAGCGGTCGAAGCTTCGCATTCGGGAAATTGCGGGCCGGAATGCAACGAAAAATCAGGATCGACTCGTTCTCCACGCGAAATCCTGTCGCAAAAGTAAAAATAAAATTTCGAGATCGAAGACGGAATCGCATCATCTCGTTCACGTATTACGTACACGCCGCGAGTGACATCTATCGGATGCTTCTGCAGCTGTTGGTCGTCCCGTAGAAGCAGAGATGCAACTTGCTTCCTTAATTCTTCTTTTGGAGAGGCAAGACTTTTTTTTTGTCGGGAGAGAGAAAGGGAAAGTCTTTTCCGTTCGTAATCTTCGGAAATAGTTCTTCTCATGAGACTAAGGAGGTTAAACTCGGTGCGATGTCACATGAATTTAAAATGCACAAACGTTTTTGCAGTTTTTTTTTGTGTTCAGCTGAGGGGAAAAAAAATTATTTTGCCTTATTTTTGGAATCGTCACTCGGGGAGATTGGACTCTTTCTCGGGTTGGGGGTGGAGGAATCGGTTCTGCCGATCCCAGCTGGGGAAAGGATGCGAGGGAGATTATTAATTGACACTCCGATTAATGAAACCTCAGTTAAGGCGGTGAAGACGGAGTCCCCCTATTCCCCTCTCTCTCTCTCTCATAAATACATCGAACAAATTATTTCCAAACGCTCGACCGATTTCTCCTTACCTTGTTCGACTTTCATCGATGGTTGAACACGAAATTCAATTCTGCCCGTTTGCTGTGAGGAGAAGTATCGTCGAATGTTTTGAGCGTGGAAGCGATTGGCCTCTCTGTGCCAGAGTTTGCTTCGATTTGGTCTCATTACAACGGTTGCCAAATATATATTTACCATATATCTGTCGGGTCGGTCCGTCACTGTGAGTGACCGAATGACTTGATTGAATGAACTAAATAACCTATATTTTTGTTCACAATGTATTATGCATGTTTTGTTGGTTTCTTTGAATGAGACACGACTGAGATCACGAAAAATGAACCTAAGACATGCCCTGCAGTAATGACGGGACATCACTGATGAAGGTGCTTCACGTGGTTCTCACGTCTTAGACGTTCATGCGAAATGGACTGCGCGTGGTGGACCGAACATTGGGCTTGGGCATTGGCTATGACGCGTCCAGCAAATTGATGGCACCGTAATAAATTTGGAGTTAATGCTGGCCTTTGCAGAAAGTAAGGCCAGGGGTTGTTGTGTCATAGCTGATGTCACGTGTTCAATCCTTTTGCATCTCCATGAGGCCACGTCTGGCCTGTGTTTACCAATTATGGGTACTAAGCCTAAGGAAATGTGGCCAATGTCAATTAACATTCATTACACTATAAGCCCTGGCCTTGATTGACTTACTATGTGGTTCTGGCCGTACATTATGGAAGAAAAGTCATTCACTGCTATTCTACTATCATTATCACTAAGTTAATCTATTCACCTAATAGCTGCCTGAACCATGAAGGAAATGTTCTTGACATAATTGGGAGATTGCAAATTAACTCAATGATCTGTGGATTCAGTGAATAGATTCAGCGATAATATGATATATTTTCTAGGCATATTGGTTATGTATATATTGGCTGTGTATTGAATTAAAAAATTGGAATCACATTTTCAGTAAGTGGCCCCATACCCAGTTGCTCAGGAATGCTGGCTTGTGAGAAATGTGTCAAACTTGCAAATGCTAAGACTCGATGTGACCAAGAGAGACAGCTGTGTTGGACACATCATATCCAGTGGGCAGCTGAGTCAAGTGAAGACAAGATGAACGTGATGTGTCTCAGTCTGCAGTTTTCTTCTCTTCGACAAAGAGGTTGGCTTACTAGCTTAAGGCTTGTGATATATTTTAAGAATGCATTCAGCAGCAATGTGTCCATGTTTCATTCAGGTTCACATTGGGATCCACATGCTTCATACACTTATGATTCCTTATCCTGTAGCCAAGCATGTCCCATTTGATTAGTATATTTTTACTGTCTGATCAAATTACATTGTCCTCACCTCTTAGAACCTTTTTCTCAGAAAAGGTCAAGCTTGATTTGAGACTTTTAATATGTAATGAGCTGCAACAAATGATTAAATATAGATAAGCAAATAATCATAATGGTTATACAATTAGATGAATTGCAAATAATTTCATAGCTCCTATGCTTTCAGACTTATGACACGTAATTTAATATCAGCAACAACACTTAGATATGAAAATACTTTGGAAATAAGATCTGCTACCAAATAAGGAAAATATGTAGTGTCTTTGAAATGCAGAGCTGGGACTGGCTGA